TATCAATGAAGACAAAGATATTAATCTGAAAACATCTTCACAGTAAACTGATATATTATATACTGTATTCAAATAGTAAATAAATTTAAGTTATATTCATTTAGTTATTTGTCTACAAATGACGGTATAACTGTTGAAAATAATAATTAACAGACTAATGGGTGAAATAAAATTTTATTAAATACTAATTATCATACAAAATTAACTCTAATACCAAAGGTGTCCATATGCCGCCCACGAGCTACAAGCAATTACAAGCTTCCCCTCGTAGGTTTCCCCGACTACCGACCTGATTGACCGATCAGATTGACTCGAGCGAGTCAATCCAAGTCCCATAGTCAGGGTACCTCCGGAGGGAAAGAATGCTGCTCGCAAGAGTAGATGGACACCTCTAGGTCTGCCCTTTTTTAAAGGACAGAATAAAAATACTAATTCCTTCTGCGTTTATACGTCTACCATACCAATATGTTTATGGAACACTACATGCTCGTGAAACACAGTAGTACCTTCCCTGCATTTAACGCTCACACTCCATTGAAGTGGACGTGAGTACACGCCAGTACGTCTCGGTACTCTACCCGTGTACGCAACCGTATGCGTTCTTTGCCAGTGGCAACGAAAACACCGGCCACGATAACTGGAAATCGCAATGCACTGTTCAATGGTCATACATGCGCAACGTGTTAAATTGTTCCATAACACGCGGTTTTTCACTAGGGCGTGCATATCGATGCACAGGTGACATAACTTAATACGTCTTCTTTTTATGCACCGATACTTTATCGCGATTCCCAGTACACGTGTTCCACTATTTCATGGAACTTGCAAATACGAATGATACCTTTGTGTCTCGCGACACTGGTTCCGGGATTGAAACGTGCTGTCGCGTCTCGTGGTATTGCGCTAACTGCTATAACATGCCTATCAAAGAAGGCACCACCACGTTTTCCCCTCTATTTTAAACATACCGGTGTGGTTTCTGTTCTTTCTACTCTATATTCGAATCTACGGTTGATATTTATTTCACACGTTAACAAGTTGATTATTATTCTTTTAATCAGCTGACCGTTATTTATAGACCATTGTGAATATATTGTATTTTCTATGTTCTGCAATTTTCCTTACGTAGATCGTATTTCGTTCTACATTCATAAATGATACCAAACGACTGTATTAAAATGACTATACTGAAATTATTGCATATATCATCATCAGTGAAAATCATTTCTAGTGAAATAAATAACATACTACCACGTTCTCAATATATACTCAATTAATAAAAAAATAACAACTATTTAAACAATAGAATGATCTCTATTGAAATATCCAAGATTAATATCTCATGTTAAATTGAACACTTAAAGATAGTACATCATAACCAATGTGATTTCGTCTATATGATGTTCGCCTTTAAGCCGAACATTAAATATTCAACTCATACTCTTTTAATACAAAATGGTTATGAATTATATTACTAATAATAAACGCGGCGTACAAGAAGACCTTAACCTAACTAAGAAACATAACAGATCATATATTACTCGCGGATATGCAATCGTACGATTGCATATCCGTGTTCACTGTACTCGCCAAAAGCACGTATACAACCAGTCGCCCGTGCCGTTTCGGACCAATCGTCCTACGACATGATTGGGGACTGGAGGAATAAAAACATTCACTCACCCGATGACTGAAGAGCTCCCTTTAATATTCTCTCTCGACGAATCTTGAAAAATGGTGTAGCTTCGCCCAAGGACATTCTCTGCAGTGTTTGTTTATGCAGCATCTGATAAATCTGAAACAAAGGAACAGAACACGTAATAACCTCTTCTCAAAACTCTAGCTGTTTCAGTTGAACAGTGTAAGTAATAAAATATAAGGATACTTACAATCTCTATTTGTAGAGCTTCGCCCAAAAATCCACTTCAGTGATGCACTGACTCTACTTTCGCGAACGAGTACTTTCAAGTAGAAAAAAAATGAAAATAAAAAACTATCGCGACCGAAAATCTCAACCGGCGAACAAATGATTCTACTTTCGCGACACACAAAGCAAAGAGTGTCCCGAAACTCTGAAAATAATTTGAGATTGTACGCAACAAACACTGACTCTAGTTCCGCGAAGACCATAATACATCTCCGGTGAGATCCTAATCGGCGCCAGTTCGCACCGCATAACAGACAAAACTTCGATGTAAACAAACACTGACTCGACTCGACCGCCTTGCACGCGGCCACCAAATACTGTGGAAAAAAAAGGGGGGAAAGAAATACAATACGGCGCACGTGCACCGGCTTAGCCCTTTTATTTTTATATTTTACCAAGTGTTTTTATCATGAAAATACTGTCATTCGACGATAAATATTCAAATATGAATTTAACTACGCAAAGGTACCATAGTTAAAAAATATTCCAAAATAATTCTCCATTGTTTCAATATATTATATTCATTACTGATATATATTTGTTATTAATATATTATATTGAAGACATTCGTCGTTAGAGTCTAAGAATGTTCGTTATTTCTGTCTACATCGCGTACCGAATTTTATAAATATTAAGAAAATCGTTGCAAGGATTAAAGTTTCGTTATTTACTTAAGCTTCGATGAGCATCGTAAACTACGCAGCTTCTATATATATAATTAAACTTACACCCAAAACCGTATATAAATACAAATACGATGACATCGTAATGATAAACTCGAAAAATTATTAAAATTTAAACAATTTCGCGACCGAGATCCAGTAAACTATGAGTATTTCGAATTGAAACTTCTGGAACATTCCCGTTTAAATTTCCTAATGGTCAAACAAGAAGCCATATTGAATGCTTCAATTGCGTTTGAACGCGATATATTTCTCGAAAAAATTCTTGTTTGCTTTCAGCACAGTTAATCAGAAAATCGCGATCAAGTTTACGGTCACAACAGTAAAAGTGTACTAAAATAAAAATATCTAGTGGAATATAAACTATTTTGTTGTAATGCATCACCAGAATTCACTAATTTCCCGCCAAATTGCGTCTAACGGGATTGGCATCGTTGGCGCGTTCTTGCTAGCCGGAATTCTGGAACAGAAAATAAACGTTAATACCAAATAATTATACTAAATTAACAATGACTGAGTCACAACGAAACAATTATTGACTCAAAGAGTGTCGCTAAAGATTGCAAATTAAACAAAAACTGCGTAAATACTAATTGGTACCGGGGGAGAACAGAAATCGTGAAACCAGTTCACTTTATCTAGCTATACCGAGTTAATTTACGATTATTTGCATTGAATTGAATAGATACTAAACAAATGTAACGATAGAGTGGTAATGTAGATACTAATAGCATAAATAATTTAAAGTAAAAAGTAATAATACTTACTTCGCCACGAGCGAGATCACTACACGTCTAATCAGTCCAGCTTCCCTGAGACGAATAACCGTTAGGCTGCTGACTGGCTGTCATTGGTTGGTTCGTTCATATGCGAGGCTCGTGATTGGTGCGTCGGTTGGTGAAGAACGTGAGGATTGGTCGCTTTCCTGCTTGCTCACTTTCTATTTGAACGAAATAGAATATTTACCGCCGAATTATGTTTCAATATATTTTCTTATATGCACCCGAGATTAATTCAGGAGGGAATGACAATCATGAAAGGGAAACAAAGAGACACACACTATCCCCGAAAATGTGATATTCCACTTCGTAATAGATCGAAAGTATTAATTTTGCTCTCGTCTTCTTGAAGTTTTCAATCCTCCAATGGTTCTCTAACGCCATCTATGATATATATATCCTTCAATTTGACAATGATGCCAACGTTTATGAAATACAATACAACAGATATTACCATTTAAATAATAAATCAAAACTATTTTTCATGAAGAAACCTTGACTAACTGAGCTCTAGTTGGGTCGAAATTCATTGTTTAATTACTCCCTCACCAATTGCCAGAAGGTAATTGATTGTGCGTATTAAGATTCTTATATCACGTTATCGGATAAAAAAAGTATAAAAACGAATAAAAAGGGAACGTGGGAAACGTAACATTACTAAAATCTTCATTAACGATGAAATTTAGAATAAGTTATCATATTTCATCAGTATTATATTCATCCTTTAAACCAAAGCATCGAATATTTTAATTCCCACCTAATCATATTGGATACACGTATTATGAATGGAATATATAATGCTCCATTTGTGCTAATAATACTCAGAATTCATGCTTTATTGGTAACGTCGGGTATTGGCACTGAAATGGTAAGAGGGTTACGTGCGTATCCCTCCGAACGTGGGATAAAAAAAATCATTGGATGATAGGTCTATTCTATACCTAGTCGGTGCCATTATATAGTATCAATATTCTTATCTTTAATCTTTAATTGATATTTTCTCCCTAAACAAAAAATGTCGTTCGAGTCAACCGCGTTGTAACATCACTTTATATGATTCATGCAATTTCAATTCTTACGAAATGTTACGTTCAGTTCTATAGAGACGCGAATAATACCAAAACATGAAGTGTAAATCGTGTAAATGCTACTTTCGTTGCGTTTGTTAAATTTTACTTTCTTTTATGAAATACGATTTTTTTTAGAATTGTCAGCCCTAATTTTTCCTGTAATAAGTTCAATGTCCCTGACAATTCTGGCGCCAAACGAGTGTACGCACAACTGGGTTTTTAACGATCGCTAATGTTTACTGTCAATTTATGAAGGATAAGCAATCAAAATCATTAGTGTCATCGTAATTTATTGAGTAATTTCCTTCGGGACGTGTTGTTAGATTGTGGACTGTATGCATTTATAACATAGTTGAATATGTAAAAGAAGCTAAATTCAGGTCTTTCAAGTGGTTTTCTTAAAGTCTTCATTTTTCCTTAAACTTTGTGGATCACTCAACAGAGAAAGAGAAATTCTATTTAAATTCTCGTCCCTTAGAATTAGACCGTACAAATCTATATTTGTATGAACATTCATAATCTAAACATTGCATTTACGCATTCTCTTTATATTGTTTTAGATTTGTATGTAACAATTGTATTTCTTTTAATTTCATTATGTACTATTATTTATTTCATCCTATTACACCTTATTTATAACTATTGCAGTTGAACAATTACAATGACGGAACCTGGATTGTCATTTGATGAAGAATTACCTTCACCAGATATATTCAACGATGTAGACAACACCATAAGTAACCATGAATTTTCTGATGATTGTAAGAGAATTATCATATGAGTACATAACATTTTTTACATGTATACCCCAATTTATTGTTCTATTATATTTGCTTTCATAAAGCTAGCTCAATGTCCATTGATATTAACGAACCAGAATCTTTTGATAACATACCCGAGTGGAAAGGCTTGAGCATGGACGAGATTTATAAGGGTTTAGGAGTATATGGTTGCCAGGAGCTCCGTCCCATTTCTCCTTCTTCTTCTCATATAGTATTAATATCGGTGAGAACGAACAAAAATTTTCAACTATTGTACTTAGATTTCAGTTGGAACATTTTCTAAAACAGTTACCATTGCCTGTACATGGAGTACCAAAGCCTTATCCTTCACATCAAATAGATAAATGGTGTCAGGATTATGTACGAATGCCACATTCGAAGCACAGTGTATATCCAATAGATCAGGTGTACTAATAGTAATTTTATATTGTGCTATTGTGGTCTATATGTGTCATCAGAGTTTAATTCATACTTTGTTATAGAATGGAACTCGACGTTGTCGTAATAGGTGGGAAATAATACAGGAATCATTACTTCAGAATTTTGTATCAACACAGCAACTGGAAACTGCAATACTTTCTTATAATCACATATATGCACAACGTTGGGATTTCGCAGCATTACATCATTTTTTTTCTGAGGTAGCAATTCAAATTCTACACATCTTATTAAACAAGTACATAATGTGTTCTACACATTAAATTCCAGGTGGTTGATGAAGACGAAACAAATATTTTTTTTGAAGTACTCGTGCCAAAGATGGTTCAACTTGCTTTGCAACTTCCTGTTTTGGTAACTGGGCCAGTGCCTCTTTTAAAACGTCATACTAATAGCACAATCAGCCTTAGTCAGTTACAAATAGCCTCTTTATTAGCTAATGCTTTCTTGTGTACATTTCCGAGACGAAATTCAACTAATCCACAGTCTGAATATGGAACATACCCATATATTAACTTCAATAGGTATTTCGTTACACACTTAAATAAGTTATCAATCACAGGTTATTAAATATATTTCGTTTTAATGTGTATATGTATTTAGGTTGTTTTCAGCATATAAGAAGGAAAAGTGGAATAGATGTGAATCAGTAATGGAGAAATTGAAATGTATATTTCATTACTTTAGAAGGGTAACATCGAAAGGTGGGTACATTAATTTTTTTAAGGAAACATGTACAAGGAATAAACATATTGCAAATGTATTAAATATATTCAGCTTAATTTTATAAGAATGAAATAGAATTTGAACTTTACTATAATCTTGCCATAGAGCAGCCCCTGAAGGTGTAGTAACAATACAACGACGATATATTTCGAAGTCGGATTGTCCAAAATGGAACGAACAAGTACAAAAATTGCCGCCTTTGCACATAACAAGTAAAGGAACAATCGAAACGGAAGGAGCTGGACTCTTACAAGTGGACTTTGCAAACAAGTATCTACATTTTCAAAATTAATGTTAGGCTGAATTACATTGATTCATCATTCAGAAAATTTCAAAAATCTTTTCAGATATGTAGGTGGTGGTGTTCTTGGTTTAGGGTGTGTACAAGAAGAAATAAGATTTGTAATCTGTCCGGAATTACTGGTAACGATGCTTGTTACGGAAGAATTAGATAATACCGAAGCGTTAGTTATCAGTGGTATCGAGCGGTACAGCAAATATAAGGGTTATAGTAACACTTTCAAGTGGATGGGAGACTTCGTTGATGAAACACCTAGAGACAGCAGTGGAAGACGACTGACAACTATTGTGGCGATCGATGCTCTTTATTTCAAGCAACCTCAGTCACAGTTCAGCATAAGCAACATAACAAGAGAACTGAATAAGGTTACAAATTGAATGGCAAACGTAATCATAATAACAATTGTGGTAAAATCTAATAATTTTATTCTGTACAGGCGTATGTAGGATTTGTTGGCTGTGAAAGTAACAAAAATAATTTGCCTGCAATCGCGACCGGAAATTGGGGATGCGGCGCTTTTCGAGGGAATCCAAAACTGAAAGCATTATTGCAACTAATGGCTGCAGCTGTTGCGGGTCGATCCGTAGTTTATTTCACTTTTGGAGATACAAATTTACTAAACGATATAGCTGAGATGTATTCGCATTTTGTAAAACACGAGACGAACATAGGTATTTGTTTAAACTGAATTCGTCTCGTAACATTCCACGCTTACAGAGAAATTAATTATGCTCTTATACTTTCAGCCCATATATTTTCTTTGCTGTCACAGTATCAAGAACTCGCTACTACTGGGAATATGGATTTCTACAAATTCTTGTATAACCGAAGTAAAGTGAAGCCTTTGACGCAATACCTACATAAGCCATTGCAAACAAAAACTTCTACTGTGAAGGAAGTTGCTTTTAAAAGAAGTAAAAGCGTCAGTATAGATAACAGAAGATCTTTCCATTCGGATGGTAAGTATCAACAAACGGAAGAAGAGAGAATACAAGGATGGTTGGCTGGTTACGAAGAAGATATAAATAAGAAGAGAACAGAAAACGTAACTGAACATTACACAGAAGTGAAAAATGTGGTGGGAAAAGAACAGAATCAGGATAGAGATAGTATGGAGAAAAGTGTGGAACAAATTCAAGATAAAGATAGCACGGAGAAAAGAAGAAAACAGTCTTTGTGGAAAATTTTAGAGGATTCAGTACAGACTAAACCAATTTATGAACATCGATTGACAGGTCTCGAATTGTTGGATTCAAAGCAAGAACTTATTTCCCATCAGACGACTGATGATAGCAGTATGCCAGCACAACCTGGAACCCAGTCGCCGGTGATGTCAGCTACAGCACATAGTACAAGCGAATCCATTGAAACTTCGAGCAATTTTTCTACAATACCTGGTATACTAAATTCGCCGGTTAAGAAAACGGGACAAAGGAAAATTTCTGATTTCTTTCAACGAACGTCTTGAAAGTTATGGAATAGTTTTGACTGAACATTTAATTGAAGATATTCTGAATGCGCATACTCTGTATATAACACGATACTGAAGAATAAAAAAAATAATTGTAAATAATTGTTCTATTTGGAGAAATTTGAATGGTGCCAGTGGTTAATGTAATTACAAATGCGAATGTACGAGATAATAAACGAATTTCGTTTACACAATTATTAACGTGTTTTTTTTTATTGACTAATATTTAAGAGCAATTATACTTATCTAATCCTTTGTTACGAGTATTGGCTAATCTACACCATTCAAGTAATAGGTAATTAGTAAATACGTTATTTCCAAGTCTGGTTTGTACTGATTGAAACAAACAATTTACATAAAAGTTTGTTAAATAAGACATAAATACCTTTTATCCTTTGCTGGGAGTAGATAAGAATTATCTTATTTCAAGTAATTAATTTGACCAAAACACATACCACGGCCTAAATACCATTAGAAATGCTATTTTAAAAATAGTATAAGTTCAAAGTGAATGGAATCAGGTGTCGAGACGGATTCAAAAGGCGAATAGATCTGCGATTATTGGCGGTCACGTGACGGTTATCGACGTATCGTGTTTGCCGTGGACCGAAGAAATCGGTCGAATACGAAGATGGCTGCTGCCACTGAAATATTAAATACTCTTGCCGAGACAGGAATTTTCCGAAAGAAAATGTAGAATTTCCCGGGTTGCGACGCGTTTCAGGTAATAACCTATGTGTTCCCAGTGAGTCCTAGCTAATGTCCGTGTGACGAGCACTGATTGTTGCTTGCGAAGGATACGTGGGCGGTTACGGAAAGTCGTTTTAACTACGGCCACCTCCGACTTGACATTTTGACAGCCGACGGACGTAAATATTGAGCCGAGCGTCCGACGAACGTTAAGTGTCACTGATTGAAAGTGCGAAAATTGTCGTGGCTAGCGCACGAAAAATTGATTGCTCGTGTTCAATGAACTAAGAAACGATGTTCTTGGCCCGTCTCGCAGCACGATGTGCTATTTTCACACGTTATACGTGCTTCGATATGTTAACAATTCGAATGACAGCACGATAAGCGCTGAAACGTATCGGGTGATCGCTCGTTATTTTTTTCATTTCTTCTGTTAACGAAGTCCATTTATCGTTTTTAAACGATATCCGCGACACAGCTGTACACGATACTGAGTATTAGATAACTTTTAATATTGTACCTGTAGCAACATATATTTTCAGTCTTTTTTTGTCGTATTTGTCTCAACTGTTTTAATCAATTGTTCCTTGAATTACTACTTTCTTTTATTACTCAATGATTAAAGAAACTCCAATTAATTTTCTGTAATTCAATGTATAGCTTTACATTCCATATACCTTATGTACATATGCATATGTAATTTATGATGACACGGATGATTCTAAATTGTTCTAACTCATCATTTTCTGTCATGAATGTTCTACTTTGCATTGTGTGTCTGATATTTCAAAAACATTTTCGTAGTACATAGACAGTATTACGTTGTCTCCTACCAAATTTTATGAGTATTGTTAGTGCATTGAAAATGTAGATTTCATTTTCTGAAACGAATAAAATGTAACAATTGTAATCTGTGAAATATCCATCTTAACATGGATAATGTAAGTTCTGAATGTATCATTACCATATGTTTCCTCTAATGAAATTTGTTTATTCGTCAATGTAAAATATAACACATATATCTACTTTTTTTTTTTAGCAAATTATAAGTATGAATATAATGCGTAAATTACGAGGGGCTACCAGTGTTGGAGGCATGGGTTCTAGTAGTGCAGGTGGTTTAGACGATTGTGCGGGAAGTACGAATTCCCAACATACCGCTCTGGGTCTTATGCACCTTAAGAAACTATTTTCTGAATACACGCATTCTGCACATCCCCTCTCAGATGCTGAACGTGATGATAAACTTTACAATATGTTGCCATTATTTTGCAAAGTAAGTCTTTTTTCTTTAGATAGTCGCAGGAAGCTTTAGCACATTTTTATGCACTATCAAGAGAAAAACAAACGTAAAATTAATTTGATTATTTTTCAGGTATTTGGATCTAGTCCAGCAGGAGATATGAGTGAAAAATTTTGGGACATCTTGGCATTTACACAGCAGGTGTCTAGATTAATGGTGTCCGAAATTAGGAGAAGGGCAAGCAATCAGAGTACAGAGACAGCAAGTTGTGCCATTGTGAAATTTCTAGAGATTGAAAACAGTGAAGAGTCGAGTAATGGTTGGATGTTATTATCTGCATTAAATTTGCTTGCAGCAGGCGATGCTTCTCTGATACAGGTATAACCGATATCTGTTGTATTTTATTATAGCAGTCAATACCATCTATATTAACACACTGTTTCATTAGGCAATGACTACTGCTTCTGTTCCATCGACATTGGTGAAATGCTTGTATTTATTTTTCGATTTACCTGAAATGATAGAGGATGAAGCTGATCTTACAGATGCAAACAGTGATTTTACTCCGAAACAACGTAGGATACTATTACAGAAGATATTTGTGCAAGTGAGTACTTTAAATAAATACTTTGTTATCTTAAAAATATGTTGCTGCTTTAGTGAAGTTTTTTTTTGTTTTCAAAATATAAATCTAATTTTAATTTACAGTTGTTGGTGAGATTATGTAGTCACCAGTACCCAGCAGAAGAGCTAGCCCGCAAAGACGATCTTACTTTATTATTCTCAGCAATAACAAGTTGGTGCCCTCACTATAATGTGATGTGGCGTAAAAGTGCGGCCGAAGTATTAATGACTTTATCTCGACACGGACTTACCCAGAATGTAGTGAGTTACATCCACAGTAAGTATCGTTCAGAATTTTATTTCATTGAAACACAAACACATGTTACGTTTTTCAACCCAGCTTAACTTTTCATCCACTAATACTACTTTAATTACAGCTAAAGCATGTATAGCGCTTTGTATCGATAATATGCAACGTGTACCTGAGCTGGCGCCGCTGGAAGTAGTAGAAATGTTTGTCACAGTATTTTGTTTTTTAAAAGATTCCAGTGAGGTTTCTCAAACTCTTTTGGACGATTTTCGTGCTTGTCAAGGATACATCTTCCTATCAGAGTTTTTGTTGAAGTAAGAAACACAAATCTGATTTGAAAATTTTCATGCTTTTATTGTTTTTTACATGTATTCATTCAAAATTTCACGAAAATATATTTTTTTTATAGACATGCTCCATCAAGATTAGAACAAGATAGTAGAGCGGAAGCACAAGACGCCATCCGAAATTTAGTTCTTATGTTGGCATCTTTAACAATGTGTGGACATACCGAATTGAAACCAAGCCAAGCTAGTATGGGATCTTTATTTCAAATGCTTGGTTTTACTTTACCTCAACCAAGTAACAGAGGTATAAATATTTCAATATAAACTATAATCGCTGCGTTCTTAATTGCGTGTAATACATTTTCCATTAAGGAAACTTCACATTTATATATGACAATTATTAATAGGTGGAAGTGTTCGAAATATCCAGGCATTCCAAGTATTACAGTCTGTATTCGTGAAGTCTAATTCATCGCTTTTATGTTGTACAATTCTCGATGCGATATCTAGCGTGTATCACAGCGACAATGCCAATTATTTCATACTCGAAGGGCAAAACACATTGTCCCAATTCGCGGAGAAGATTCACTTGAAAAATCGGGAAATACAAGAGAAGTTCTTTCAGCTACTGGAATTTATAGTGTTTCAACTTAATTTCGTGCCTTGTAAGGAACTTATATCTCTATCTATACTACTCAAAACTAATAATTCAACTAGCTGCAGCATCCTGTGCATGGAAACACTTCTTAATATACTCAGGTAATGTACAAAGCTTTCGATAGTGATATCGATGCATTGAACTCTTTGTAATTTTACTGCGTTCATTTTTTTTTTCAGACATAATAATATATTTAAGGATGTGTACAGAGAAGTAGGTATGTTAGAAGTCTTTGTTACGTGTCTTCACCGTTATGCAACTTTGCTTAAAGATAAACAAGCTGCACACGATCAAGGATTAGGTGAGATTTATATTTTCATTCTTTCTTGTTAAATAGATTCATCTTGTAATTCACACGAAATAATATTTGTTCGTAGAATACAATATATGCCCAGAGGATGAACGATTGGGTGCCTTAGTAATGGAAGCGTTGACGACATTATTAGCGAGCAATGTTCAAAATGCTAATGTCTTCAGGGAATGTGGCGGAGCACGCTGTGCTCACAACCTTGTACCCTATATGGACTGTCGATACCAAGCGCTTGGTATTGTCAGAGAATTGATACTTAGCGCAGGAGGAGACGACGACATGGCTACGTTATTGGGCGTTATGCATACAGCACCTTCCAATGCCTTAGTTTTAAAGACACACATATTGAAAGTTCGTATTTAGTATTATATTGACCTTTTAAACTACGAGCAACGTTCCAAAATGTTGTATCTTTTTTTTGTAGTCTTTATTGGCTTGTTTACGAGAATCTCATCGAACTAGGACCGTTTTCCGGAAAGTAGGTGGTTTCGTGTACGTGATGTCCGTTTTAGTGTCCCTAGAGGGTCAGTTAGGCACACAAAGAATAGAAGGCATAGAACCCTGCAACGATATAATAAAAAGGACAACGCAAGAGGAAGCACAATTACTAACACTTTTGCACGTTGTATTTCACACGATAAGTACAGCAATGAGATTTGAACCAGCAAACGCGAAATTTTTCCATCTTGAGGTAAATATTTTCATATTATTGTGAATACTTTCTTATCTATTAACGTAAAATTACCATTATGTAGATATGCCAATCGAGTTTATGCGACACGTTACGGCTTCTCGGATGTTTCTCGACGCAGACGAAGTTTACGGAAATAGACCTAATACCTACCACGAATTATCATAATATGTTATTAACACTGTTTACTGGAAGCGTATTAGAACCTGTGTTCCCGGATGTTATGCCAAAAACACTAGCCTATGCATGTTTGTTGTTACGACTTCTGTACGACGTAGCACTCGATTCTTTCGACAAGCCGAATTTGGTGGGCTTAGGGATGAGGTCGCCGAGTCATAAGCAAAATAGCGTTGAGGTGATTGGCAATTTAACAATATCATTCACTTACACTGTATCAACCAAACGTAACATATAATAATTTTTAGCATCAAAAATCGTTCGATTCTCCCGGAAGTGGGAAGAGGAGCGTGATAAACTCTTTGAATTTGAATCCTCCTGCTCCGGAGCCAATAGTAGTTCACCCTGGCATAGTCGTTGGGATGTTACACTTGCTACCATCGATCATAGAATCGTCTAATCCTCAGATGGCTCTGGTTTTGCAATTGTACGTGGCTGAAATCATTAAAAGCTTAGTACGTTCAGAGAGAAATCAACAAATAATGTGCGACGCCGGAATGGCGGGTGAACTGCTATCTGTTGGGAGAATTGCTTTGCAAGATGAAACGCATCCTCTTCATCAACCGTTACAATATATCATAGAAAGACTAGCAGCACAGTCTTTAGAGCCACGTGATTTGAGGTAGGACGTGAATTTAATTTATTAAAGTAATGAATCACGCACAATACATGTACTTTATTATACAAGTTTCGATTACTTTCAGAGAATTTTTACGACTGGGTGATCCGTTGTGTTGTATTTCACTGGATGACATTGAACAGAACAAACCCAGGGGTGGTCCTGTACCATTGACACGTATCAAGACTCTAGTCTCCATGACAACACCGAAGGATTTCCGTGCCCATGGTTCTTGTACACTACCACCTTTTGTGGAACTCGACATGAGTGCCGAAGGATTTGCATGTTTATATTTACCTAGCGTTGCACCTCAAAGTACAACCCCGCCCACAGTAGTGGCTGCCGATAGTAGTGTGCTTGGTGGAATTGGTTCAGGTAAATCTTGAATACCTTGATCATACTATTCTATACACAAACTTGACAAGTAAAGGTCAATGTTCCTATTTCTGCTCAGTACGTATATTTTTTATTTAGTGTAAAAAGTTAAACAAAAAATTATTTAAATTCAGTATTTCCGTGTATAATGCTACAGCCCGTTGTTCAATACAATGACATTTACTATTTTCTTCAACATTCTGAAAAGTCTCAAATTTTTCACAATTTGTTTAACACATAATTTAGTAAACTAATCCTAACTTCACAAAGAAACTCAAGTCGCTTGGTCCAATTTTGAGAGAGTTGTTTTGTTTTAAAGGGTGTACGAATATTTTTTTTACCCACTGTACATGATTAGAAATAGGGGCATTGACCTTAATTTGCCATTCGAATTAAAATGATGTTGCAGGCGACAGACTGTTCCCGCCGCAAACTGGACTTACTTACAGCACATGGATATGTGTCGATAAATTTAGCGATCCTAGATCGGATCCCCACTGCGTACGATTATTGACGTTAGTACGTACTCCGCAATCAGCAAGAGATCTGATTTGCCTAACCGCGGTTCTTAGCGCTAGAGACAAAGCTATTATTGTGTCCACCCAGGAAACACCGATGCCACAAAGTAAAGCTTCACCGGCATAGTTTATAGCGTACGAAATGTATGATGCAGATGATTGTTATTTAATTGTTGTGTTTAGATGTAGGCGAGTGGGAACCAGAAGGAATCGGCGAATGTGGCGCGAGAGTATGGTGTCCTGACCTGCTTCACGAAGGGCAATGGCATCATATAGCTATAGTATTAAATCGTGCTGTATTAAAGAATTCAAGTTTCTCGTTGTATCTGGATGGCCAGCATATTCACAGTCAGAAGCTTCATTATATTACGCAAGTTCCTGGTGGAGGAGCCGCGAACCTGACCGTGGCGTCACCAGTTTATGGGTATATAGGTACACCGCCTTGTTGGCGGCGATATTCCAGGCTCGCGTGGAAACAAGGGCCATGTCACTTAGTAGAAGAGGTGTTCAATTCACAGAGCATAGCGACGGTATTTAAATTAGGTCCACATTATATGGGAAGTCTACAGGCTCCACAGTTGTTAGGTATCCATCGTTAATTATGAAATTTCTCCAATCGTATCGATCATATTCATATAAACATAAGGGTTTATTTATTTCAGTACAAGAACCGTTGATGTCTCTCGTGGCTGAAGAGAAAGTCGTGTTTGGATTAAATGCCAAAGCGATGTCTCAGTTAACATTAGCGAAAATTAGAAAAGTCTATAGTCGGGCTGATAACAAGTCAATTGCTAAGCAAGTACGTGAAATATTCTCTGTTAATTAATATACACACTGTTCCAAAAAGGTTACCGTACGTTACTAATCGAATCGAATTGTTTTGTGCATAGCTGGGCATGTCGTCGCACGAAAATGCTACACCTATCAGGGTTCTTCACAATTCTGCGGGACATCTTAGTGGTCCAGCAAGAGCATTAGGAGGTGTAGTCGTTGGTTATCTCGGTGTACGAGTTTTCAGTCCTAGACCGGTAGCTACAATGATAGATAACGTGGGAGGATGTTCAGTGTTGTTAGGTGATTATTTGAAAGTTATACATTTCAACGGTATTTATCGAAGAATGATACCAATGATTAAACATTTCTACTTGCGTTCGTAGGTTTAATAGCTATGGCTCAAGATGTAGAGTCTCTGTATGCTGCCGTTAAAGCGTTAGTGTGCGTCGTAAGATCGAATCAAGCGGCTCAGCAAGAAATGGATCGTCGAAGGGGATACCAAACATTGGCAATGTTATTGCGAAGGAAATGTCCCCTTCTGAACAGCCATATTTTGCATTTGACGTTCAGTCTTGTTGGTACAGTTGATAGTGGTAGGGAGACCAGTGCAATACCGAATGTTACGGCGTTTCAGGATCTTCTCTGTGATTTGCAAGTACGATTCGTTTTTATTTTTAATAAAACTTTAACTCGAGATATAAACACCGTTCAAATAGTATAGAGAATATTTAAATTGCATTCAGGTTTGGCACGAGGCACCAGGGGAATTGTTAAGGTCACTTTTAGAACATCTGTACGAATTAATAGCAGAGTCAAGTGAGAAAAGAACAAATTTACGTCTGATGAGAGATTTGCAATTGGTGCATAAATTGTTGCATATATTAAGCGATGTGAAACAAACTAACACAAGGCAGATTTTGCTCGCATTACTCAGTATTTTATTGAGCCAGCCAAGACAAGCTGATTTACTTTGGTAATCTTTCTACGTTTATACATTCTACTGGTAAACCCATTTGCGTTATATGTTCATATTAATGAAAATAGTAATTTTTCTAGGTTCGGTCAGTTCATTGTAGCCACCTTGCCACAAAGTTCAGAGAAACACTTGATTCTTCGAGAAAGCGAGGGTAACAAAGAAGGGGAAGGGGAGCATATACTTCTACGAAATCGTTGTTTGCAACTTTTACATTCGTTGTTGTTTAATGGCCCTAAAGTGAATGTAAAGTAAGTACTCTGTAAATAATATTTTTCCAAAGTTAATCGAACGACCAACTATTTTACGCAATGCTCTTCAATTTGACGATACTTTGCAGTATGTGCGAAGAGCTGTCGAAAGTGTTGGGCTTAGATTGGATATTACTGTTTCTGCAATCGGGACTTCATAGCACGACAGTGATATGGGGGTTACGAATTTTGGTAGCCGTTTGTTCGGTACAACTGATATTACAGAAATTTAAAGAAGGCACTAGCAACGGTAGCTGGTTGCGTCACACGGATCACAACAAAATGGCATTGGCACTAGGTAAGCCTGTGAAAAAATATCGGCGTTCGAAGAAAATAGGCGATAAACTAACATTGCAACTATACAGTAAATCCTCGATAAGTGTTTGGAAGCTCCTTGGCACTGATAAATAATATTTCGTAAACTAATGGCTATATGCAGCTGAAACAAATATCATTAACTTCAGAATTCCAAGCTTTAACATTGTGCGAAACATCATTAAAAAAGTCAGCGGTTCACATGAGGACCTGTCTTCTTGTCAGTGCCGAGGAGTCTTCGAACACTCATTAAGGATTTATTGTATATAGATAATCTAATATATTACTATAAACGAATATCTCTGAATTCTACGGTTTAGGTTGTCATCAGCAAATGTCTGGCGGTGAGTCTAAACCATCTGGTCTCCACGTACCAGGGTTTCAGCATTTGGGATGGTTACTGCCGCAGCACGTGGACCTCGTTCCAGAATTGTACTTTCTCTTTATTGCTCTTATGATGGGCCAGCCTGTGAAATTATTGCCTACCGATTCAAAAGTTATTTTAAAAGTTCGGTATTCGAAAAACATTTTTCTACAATATCCTTACTTCAATCATGCTCAAGTGAAATATAAATGTAACAAGTTTTTTTTTACATTACCATAACAGCTTGATCTGGACAACGTGTGGAATTTCTTGTTCGGTGTCCCAGCGAATCACACGCTATCCTCGTTCGCGAGTAGAATTCACCTCTGCCCTGAGGCAGTGGTTACTCTGTTAACTATGGTCCGGACGATGCTAAATAATTACTCGATCAAGTAAGTTTTTGGATCAAAATATATAAACCAGATTATACAGGGTGTCTCAGGTAACTTGATCGCCTCGAATTCATTAGGTTTAGGACGTATGAAGGTCAAAACATTTTTACCCAGAATTTCATACTCTATCGATCTACGGTACAAAAAATAGGTCAATCCGTTAACAAAAATCAGGGTGACCTTGAAATCTCTGAAATGCCTCCACCCACAAAAAAAAACACGTACCTTATAAGACGTGCTCCTCGATGCCATTTAAGTTCCACCCCTCAAAACTTTTATAAAGCCTACCTTTAAGTCATTATTCGAGGTGATTAAATTACCTGAGACACCCTGTACAATTTCACAGAAAGTTAATTTCATTTGTATAATTTTTATTCGACAGCCCTGAGTCTTTGCCTGACTGGTTAAGTGACTATCCAGTGACAATAATACAGTTCCTGTTCTTCCTCTATCATAACTTCACAGATTTCATGCAAGTGTTCATGTCTGCGGAGGTATTAGGTGCATTGGCTGGTACTTTGTTCCCAAAACCTTCAAGTTCTAGCCAAGACAGCAGTGGAGCTAGCACTCCAGCAGACGAGGTGAACTTTACAGATTAATCTGAAACTTTTCGTTTAATTAAATTTAGAAGCAAAATGATTATAATAAGACTCTGTTGTTGCAGCAAGAACCGGTATTGGTGAGATCTCCGTCAAAGGATGTTGGTCTGACGAATCATCCGGCGAAAAAGTTCGTTATGGACTTTCTCAGAGTTATCGTTGTGGACTCCCTTTCTCTGCCAGTCACTGCGAAATCTCCACCAGCTATTGACTTAGTTTTGGAAGCTTGGCCGGAACATGCGTCCACGGGTCAACAAACACGCTATCAAACAGAAGTTCTGTCTATTCTGATGGAACATCTATTGGCTGCTGACGTTTTGATCGGAGAGCAAGCGGCATTGCCTGTGGTTCCTGGTGGATCGGTGAATAACATAACGAACAATGTGTGTTACGTCGCAGCTAGAATAGTGGACAAATTGTGGCAAGGTGAGGTTATTAAGTTAAAATTTTTATTTGTACGTTTACCATGTTGTTATCATGCATTGTATCATGTATGTTATCATTTGTATGTCCAAAAAACAGGTGCTTTGACGAAAGACCCGCATGAAGTATTTGATTTTATTGTAAAATTGATTGGGCAAGCTAAAAGACGACCTGGTGTCGTTAGCATGGAAGGTTTGCATCATTGTTTGAACAGAACAATTCTGTTCTTGCTATCCCGATCAACGGACTCGATAGCCGATCAAATGGCTGTATTAGAAGCATTACACAAGCTCACAACACATAGGTAGGATAGATATATTTTTTCTCTTAACCCTTGTGTGGGCAACGACAATAGTCACATTTATTGAACAATCGGAATACCCCTATTCTGACAGATTAGGTAAACATGGATAATTTTAATTTCGTATTTCTTCGAATCTCTTAGTTTTCCCTTCCTATAATATACCAAGTGTTGTTCTAGACAAGAACATAGAAAATTGTGAAAGGAAATTTAGAAATGGGTACCTGGGTACCTAGTTACCTACAGAAGGGTCAAATCTACAATGTGACAACTTCAATATAGGTTACAAAATTGAACTATAATTGTGTCTTTATAGGCTACTAGTGTTTGGCGCTGGTAACCACGAGCTGGAATTCATTGGTTGTTTGTCTCACTGCCTGTTACAATTAACAGCTGATATCAAAGTTGCGTTGGACACCAACATGAAAACGACGTGGCATGTTAATCCGCAAGTCGAAGCCAGCGATGATAGATTGACGTCTCATCAAGGCCATAACCTGATGGTTGTCGCGGCAACGAGAGTTTGGGAGGAGTTATACGTATGTAAGAAACCCGCCATAGAGGAAGTCTTTAAAATAACACTTCCAGCGCCTATAGGAAACGAGCGTGCACCGGAATTGTCGCTAATAAGAGATCAAGTGAACGAAGCCTCTTCCAGGCTTTGGTTGAATTACGTTGTTATGGAAAGGAAAGCCTCGTACAGGGTCCCATGGGAACTTCACAATCAAATACAATCGGTTGGTATATAGAATTCATGATTATAACATCGGCAAGAAAGGGGAACAGAATATATAGACGACTTTATGACGTTTTCAGAAAATTCAAAAAGTAACAGGAGGTTTGACGAGACTGGCAAGTAGGACGAAAGTGAGGAAAGAGGAATCAATACGCGTCAGATTAAGATTACATCAAAACACTGTTGCGCAATGGACAGAGCAACATGTCGCATTAGTACGCGAATTAGCTGCAGCAAAGCGGTTGCAATATATACAAACCAATCAACACACTCAGAGATATGTGTATCAGGTAAGAAGCGAACGCATTTGCAGTCAAAAGAAATATTTTCAATGGAAAATGTCTTTACATATTTTTAATCAATCGTTGTGTAGGAATGGTTACAAACTGAAACTGAATTAACGAGAGAACGTGGCCTATGGGGGCCACCGACAGCCACCAGGCTTGACAAGTGGATGCTAGACATGACCGAGGGTCCGTGCAGAATGCGAAAGAAGATGATGAAAAACGAACTGTTTTATATTCATTATCCGTACCGACCTGAATTAGAACACCCTGATAATGTGAGTTGTACTCGTTGTGAAATACTGTGGACTCTAACTACATTGCCACGCGAGGCACTTTCCCCTCACCTGTACATTTGGCCACACAAATTCGCTCTCCCACCACGTTGCGTACGCCAGCGCACCAGCACGATCCAGCTTTCGACGATAGAACTTAGCATGGAGGGGGGCTCTGAACTCAATACTCCCCTACAATCCCGACCATGGCAATATAGTTAAGAGTTCACTGTTCCCTCGCGAGCAAACTCGACTTCCGTTAGGGGAAAAAGTGGCGTAAGGGAAGGGCCTCCTATCCCAACATCACTTTTTCCCTTAGTGGAAGCCGAGTTTGCTCGCTTGAGTATACTTGAAACTCAATGAATTTATAATTACGCTTTTTTACCGATTGCAGAAACAACTCAAGTATAAAGTTGCTACCAGTACCGACAGTAAAGAGTACTACTTGAAGCAGCTTGGTAATTCATCCGGTATGTTTGAACGAGAACGCGATCCTGTCATCGACGACACTCCGTTGAACGTTAACGAAGGCTCCACCGAAAGTGAACCTCCTATGGTACCGTGCACTCTGGAACGTCACTCCAGCGAACCCGACGAGACAACAGAGGATAACGAACAAGAAGAAGAAAACAATCAGACTGTCCCAGACAATCAAACTTTGATACGATTATTGGAGGAACACGAGAAGGTTTGTTTCCTAAGTTTGGTTAAAAGTGGGGTGCATTGCAATGACTTGTGGTTTTATGTTTGTAGATAAGTCACATGTTCAGGTGCGCCAGAATTCAAGGTTTAGACACAACCGAGGGTCTGTTGTTGTTTGGAAAAGAACACTTTTATGTTATCGATGGGTTCACGTTGCTGAAGTCCAGAGAAATAAGGGATATTGAGAGTTTACCGGAGGCTTATGAACCAATTTTACCATCGCCAGGATCTCCTAGAAGATCTAGAGCGATGAGACAGTGCTCGAAGTTTAATTACGAAGATATCAGGTAGTACAACTTTGTTTATGAGATTGACGTTTTTTTAGTACGTTGTTTAAACAGAGTGAATGCAGTTGTTTCACTTTACGTGTCACCACAGGGAAGTACATAAAAGAAGATACTTGCTGCAACCAATGGCGCTAGAAGTATTTAGCGGAGACGGCAGGAACTATTTGTTAGCATTTCCGCGTAAAGTGCGGAACAAAGTCTATCAGAGATTTATGACATTCGCGACGGCTATAGCTGACAGCGCCCAGCAATCGGTGGCTGGTCAAAAAAGAACGGCGAACGTGGAACAAGCGACAGGCTTACTTTCGAACTTAATCGGTGAAACTTCTGTCACCCAGCGATGGGTGGTCCGTATTAAAAATGACATTTTATTTCTTTATTCTTGTTGTGATCCGTTATGAATCGAAACGATACTAATATTTCCAGAGAGGTGAAATATCAAACTTCCAATACTTGATGCACCTCAACACTTTAGCCGGTCGTAGTTACAACGACTTAATGCAGTATCCTATATTTCCGTGGATATTGGCCGATTATGACAGTGAAGAATTAGACTTGACCGATTCGGCAACGTTCAGAGACTTCAGCAAACCTATGGGCGCACAGAGTCCAGAACGATTATTGCAGTTCAAAAAGAGGTGCGTCTAATTTGTTTATTTGATACACTACAAAACACATACGATATATTGAATTTCAATTTACATTTAAATAGGTATAAGGAATGGGACGATCCACACGGGGAAACGCCTCCTTATCATTACGGAACACATTATTCTTCCGCCATGATAGTATGCTCCTATTTGGTGAGAATGGAACCGTTTACACAACACTTTCTTAGGTTACAGGTTTGTAAAAATAATTGCTTGACAATTGAAGTTGTATTGTGAATCGTATATTCGAATATGATCGTTGGTTCTAGGGTGGACATTTCGATTTAGCGGATAGAATGTTTAACAGTATCAAGGAAGCTTGGCTTTCTGCTTCTAAACACAACATGGCTGACGTGAAGGAGCTTATACCGGAATTCTTTTATCTTTCGGAATTTCTCGTGAACTCTAATCATTTTGACTTGGGTAAGCATCGTGTTTTCTTGCGTATATGTAATGAAATCCAGAAAAATTTATGCAACCAATCATTTACTCAGGTTCGAAACAGAGTGGTGTACAATTAGGAGACATTGTACTTCCACCGTGGGCCAAGCAAGATCCTCGAGAATTCATACGCGTGCATCGACTGGCGTTAGAATGCGATTACGTTTCGCAGCATCTTCATCAATGGATTGATTTGATATTTGGTTGCAAGCAAAATGGACCCGCTGCGGTTGAAGCGGTGAATGTGTTCCATCACTTGTTCTACGAGGGCAACGTTGATATTTACAAGTAACGTACTTTTTGCCACATTATTGTGTAATAGTACCGTAGTAATTTTATGTGAATAGATCTAATTATGATACATATATACATATTTTAGTATCGATGATCCCTTAAAAAAGAATGCTACCATTGGATTCATCAATAATTTTGGTCAGATACCAAAGCAATTATTTAAAAAGCCACACCCAGCTAAGAAGATGACGCAAAGGACTAGCGTTATCGATCCTGGACCAATTACTCCAGGCTTAAGTATCACCACGTCTGATAAATTATTCTTCCACAATCTCGACAATTTGAAACCTTCGCTTCAGCCTATCAAAGGTTCATTGCTTTTTTTTTCTTCGTATTTATGTTTCCTTTAAACTTTATCGTACGTTTATTTTTCGGTTTATTCTTCTTAGAATTGAAAGGTCCTGTCGGCCAAATACTTCACGTGGACAAAGCAGTGCTGGCCGTTGAACAAAATAAGACCCTGATTCCCCCTACGTACAACAAGTACGTTGCATGGGGTTTTGCGGATCACTCTCTTAGAATAGGAAACTATGACAGCGATAAAGCTATATTCGTCTGCGAAGCTATGATGCAGAGTAGTGGGGAGATAGTTGCTTGCGTTTGCCCGTCTTCCAAATTGATAGTAACCGCCGGCACAAGCTCCGTAAGTGCATACAGTTATTTAATTTGAACTCAATCGGTTTTAGATTTTTATAGTGGAGCTTCTATTTTAACAGGTTGTGACTGTTTGGGAATACACCAAGAGACAACTTTCCATCAAACAGTGTCTCTATGGTCACACTGACGCTGTCACGTGTTTGTCGTCAAGCCCAGCGTACAATGTGATCGTGTCAGGGTCGCGAGATGGTACAGCAATTATATGGGATCTATCTCGATGTTTGTTTGTACGTCAATTACGTGGACATGCTGGACCTGTGGCCGCAGTAGCCATAAATGAATTAACGGCAAGTGTTATGTGATTTATACTATAAATCTTTGTTATTGTACGATCAAAATCTTGAGACTTGTTCAAAAAGAGTTAGAAAATTAAGAAACTGCGATACAGCACGAGATGGCTGGATGAAAAATTCTAATATATTTAAGTTATATTTTTACGTATTTTCATTGTTCCATAGGGTGATATCGCAACTTGTGCAGCTACATGGTTACACGTGTGGAGTATCAACGGCGAAGAACTAGCGAGTGTGAACACATGCGTTGGACGAGCTGATAGAATGCAGCAAATTCTGTGCGTGGCTTTCAGTCAGACTAATGAATGGGACTCGCAAAATGTGATTATGACAGGATCGACTGATGGTGTAGCTCGTGTAAGTGTTATACTGTTTATTGCAATATGACGATTAAGATAAATAATTGCGAGTAACACCGACGAATGGTTTATAGATGTGGTCAATGGATTACGTGCAAGTGCCTGCAGAGAAAGATAAACCGGAGGAGGTTGCCGCGACCAAAGAAGAAACTACAAAGTCAAGCAAAACCGAGAATCAGAATGAAACTACTAAGAAACGAGTACACGAGCTAGTAAAACAAATGAGCATATCTGCCGAAGGTTCAGGTAAATAATTCAATTAATAGTTAAATGAAACTGATATTCGTCCGATCAGCGCCGACTTAAGGGAGTGACTAGAGGGGCTGGAGGGAGGCTATAGTCCCGGGCCCCACTTTCCAGGGGAGCCCCGATCTAAGCCTTCCGTTTATATTAAAACGTAATTTAGGATTAATTTAAATTTTAAATTAATCCTATATTAGCCCAGGGCCCTCAAAAGTTTGATAGCCCTGGGCCACAAAAAATCTTAATCCGAGCCTGAGAACGATTTTGTATGTCCATTGCTTATTTACGTTTGCAGGTATGCTGGCGAAAAGTGGTTCAGAAAGTAGTCTCTCGGAAGCTGAAAATTCTAAAGAAGCGTCAAGACTACACGAAGAGAAAGAAGAATGCTCGGACAACGAGTCGAGTAATGGTTCGAGTAGCAAACCATCACCCCAGAATAATAACACGCCTCCTGTTGTGCTCCGTAGGAAAAGTCGTGGAAATCCTATGTTTCGAAAAAGCGAGGGCGGAGGCCGTGCAGATAGCGAGGGCACTCAAACAAGGTAATACAACTTTGATACGCGTTTTTCTCCTTTAACCAGGACATTCATTACCCTTTGGAGATGATAACGAAACGATTAACTTCGGTAGCGAGGTATCAAGCAGTGCTGGAGATTCCGAGGGTGCCTTACGGGCTAGTAAGAGTGACACCAGTTTGACAGATAGCTTCGTGATGGTAACAGAAGCTGACACGAAACCTAAAAGGATTAATCCGCAAAATATCTTAAGAGATGGTTTCATGTGGCAACGGCAGCTAGTATTTAGAAGCAAGTTAACGATGCATACTGCGTATGATCGTAAGGATAACGCAGAACCAGCCTCTATAACGGCCCTTGCAGTGTCAAGGTAAATTATTATATTAGACAACGTGTGGTTTTGAAAATTCATGAAGATTGTTATAGTTCAGTTGTATGAGTGTAAGTTACAAGGCACTGCAGCGAGCTAAGGAAGAGAAGCAGGAGACAAGGGGAAATGTTAAAATATTAGATTATATAATGAGAATTGCATTTCAGGGATCATAGAACAGTATATGTAGGCGATACAAGAGGAAGGGTGTTTTCGTGGAGTGTATGCGAGCAACCGGGACGTACAGTTGCTGATCACTGGCTGAAAGATGAAGGTGCAGACTCTTGTGTTGGTTGTGGAGTTCGATTTAATCTTTATGAAAGGAGGCACCATTGTCGCAACTGTGGACAAGTCTTCTGTTCAAAGTAAGTTGTTACATCTTTACAAGAATTATTTCGAATTCACGAGAATCCGTCTTCGTCATTTGCGTGAATGCTTGTTTAACGAATGTTTCTTTACTTCCCAATGGCAGATGCAGCCGGTTCGAATCGAAAATTTCGAGGTTAGGAATTTTAAAACCAGTCAGAGTTTGTCAGGGTTGTTATTCGTCGTTGCGCTCTCAACATTCCACCGAGAGCAGCGCTTAATTTAGCAGTATATTTCACGGTTTTGTGTAAGTAATCGGATCGAGGGTGGGTACAACTCGAATGTACATAATCACAGGTACCCTGTTCATGTCTTCACCCGAATTTCTCTGCAAAAACAAATTGAGTGTGCATTTTGTTTCGTTCTCGTATATCGAAACTTTATTTGAAGTGGGTAAATGCGACAGAAGAATCGACCACTACATTTTCTTTCTCGTGTAATATTGGTATATCTTTTATGGTGATTTTTCTCTTTGTTTCACGAGCATAAATATTTGAAATTGTAGTACACACCTGTCGATCCTATAAAAACGCATCTAGCACATTTTTCACATACGATAGAAACTATCTCAGTAATCTAGGATATTTCCTAGGAAAGATCGGCCTGCTTCCCTTCATCGACAGGTTTGTACTGAAAGAATGTTCAAAGTCGACGCCCAAAAATTTATGTAATACTAATGATATATATTTTTTTTTTATTAGTACATGACCCAAAAAACACAGGCATGTTTTCCTTTTTTTTAAGTGTCTGAATTTCGATCATTTTTTAATATTTTTCTACGTGGTGTGTTTGTATTTTATACGCCGGAGAACAATGTACGCAGTCACCTTATATGTTGTATATTTGATTTGATCGTTGCATTGATCTTTTATTTTAACGAAAAAGATAACGAGCGAGACGTCTATATGTACGAACATGTATAGCTGAATTTATTTAATATACTTAATCTGTGATTACTTTCTTTCCTATTTTAATTTAATCGACGAACAATAAATTTAAGAGGTGATCACTGGCAATTATATATACATAAATATATATATACATAGATATATATGTATATATAGAAAGAGAGAGAGAGAGAGAGAGAGAGAGAAAAAGAGAGAAAATGTTAATAGTATTTAGACGATTCATTTACCTGTCAGAATGTTTACGTCGTCTCTGGTGTCTGACTGTATTAGATGATTATTGTTACTATTTATTTTAAATTATAGTAGAATAATATACAAGATGTCAATACTGTTAATGGAAAAATATAAGATTGAATATTTATCAGGTTTACCAAAAAATTATATATATATATATATACCGTATATTATTCATACTGCTTTTTTTCTATTACGTTTTACTTATAATTGCTGTTTGATAAAATGTTTGTTTCTATGATAACGTCGTGTACATAATGCAATAATACTATGCGATGTAATTGATTCTAAGGACCATTAATGGTGTATAACTTATTATTGCATCGTGAATGGACAGGTCTTTTATTTTTCCATTTCGTAGAATCAAAGAACTTTGAAGAGTTTTAAGAAATTGAGCATGTTATTGCATTACGATTCCAGAAAAGAAAATGACATGCAAGCTCGCAGTGCAGCGTTTGTGACCGCTGCCTTTACAGGTATAAAACTCGTAACTTTATGATAGACAATACCTTTAATTACGTAAAAGTGTTATTGACTGTAAGTTGACTAAAATGGACTCTAAAACCAGCAGTAAATACTGTAAGCAACGTCGTAAATATGGAATACACTTGTTTGTTCACAAAGTTAATATAGACACATATAAATATATACATACATACATACATATATATATTATCGTGACCGTGTCTGTAAAATTAATCGTGAAACCAGAAGTAAATTAAAACAAAAATATCCGTGTTCTTGGATAAGTATTTTATAATGTTTTGAAACGGCAAAGAATCGCAAACGCGATCCACTTCCGCGTGGACATTGTGTTTACTTAACGATTAGAACGAATCCACGAACACTGGATCGATCGTGCAACAAAATTTGTATAAATATGAAGGATCGCGGTATTAAAATGAAGAAGAAAAAAACAGCATTGTCTCCCTATACGAATAACAAATTCTACAATTTGTATTCTATCGATACACTTCCATTTTTCTAAAGGCACAAATTTTATAAAGATCAAGGGATAGGCGTAATAAAACAAATCAAGCACGAAGCGAACGGAATTCGGATACGGTGCATAGTGTTGTTTCAATGTGGTACTTTAATGTTGCTAGTACCGACCAGCACAATGGTTCAACGTACATTCATTCAGAAAGAATCCATTCGTTGTATAAAAGTCAAAAAATGAAAACCGCTGGAAACGTTGTGGATAAAGTTCAAATAATATTTGAGAAATTTCTAAATTATACAGACGCATAAAAAGGGAAGAGTTGCCACGTATCTTATGCAAAATAATATCTGTGTGTCATTATTACATGCCAGTTCTAATAAAACATTGCCAATTATCTTTACTTTTGTACTCCTACTTGTACACACACCAAGCAAAGCTTATGCTTAGTTCTACTATGGAATTGGAAGGCTTGCAGTTAACTCTGATCAGGAGACGTACACCTTAATTTCATGAAAAGGTTTCTTAAATCTCCTATACTCTTTGAAACAAGCCAAAGCAATTCACAAAGACGAACTCGAACAAAGGTAAAATCATCAAACAGCAGAATGTATCTAATCTCGAGAGAATGCATTATTTTAGTAAGATTACATTGTAGATGGTTACATGTAATTGGAACAAAGTGATCCTTTTATCATGTAGAAAAGTATGTATAATTTCTAGTCACGTGAATATTGGATATAATTTATGTTTACCTCGATTCAACAAAATTTCTTTTCATGGTTTCGAACAGTATTATTTGTAATCGTATTCAACTGCGCCGGTGTCTATGTACCACATGTATTATAAAATAGAACTTTACATACAGTTTATTGTGTATTTTATTACAATGCATTTTTCGTTTTGCTACATAATTTTTTAAATGAAAGAATTGATAACTGAACTCGTATAATTCGTATATCGTATTACTTATACACGCCATTAGTTTGTTCGGTTATCGCCGTATGATATAAAAATAAAATTAATTTCACTCTATTTTTAAGTATATTGTCTTTCTTTTGTATACACAGAATAGTTTTATTCTATATAAAAATTTCATTTTTCTGCTGCTTTTACTCCCACTATTACACCGATTCCAATTACAAATGCGTTGTCTAACATACATAACTTCTCAAAAGACTGTCGGAAAATATCGTTGTGTTTAAGGTACATCAAACTGTATTTTCGTAATATCCTCTTAAGTATTAGGAACAAGAAGGCCACTATTAATTTTGTGATCTCATGTATTAGTATTTGTGTCGTGTATTAGTATTGTCATCACTAGATCCAATCAGGACATATGTGCATCACACGATTCAATCCCTAATTGTACATACATAGAAGTGTACAAAACAATACAGTGAAAAGTATTAAGCTCGTAGAGATGTATAATAAGTGAAAGTTAGGATAGAATATGTGGAATAGTGTAATAACCAATATTGAATACGGGTATGTATGGGTTCGCGCACGTGTGTGATTCTGTGCATATGCGAGTATACGTTTCCCACCCGCGCATAGGATTTACGTACATGTATACATACCTACCATCGTCATATATATATACACTGTATGTAAGTAGTTCTATTGTACTGTTAGTTGCTATCTGGAGAAGATTGTATAATAAACTTTGATCGGTATAATTATATTGAATGGGCCAAAGCTGTAACTTATTTCATATAAGAACCTGTCCCAACTACACATTAAAACAGAAGACATTGCTCGTTAGTTTACCACATATAAAAATTAACATGAGAATTTAAAACATATGCAACGAGATTACAACTTTTTGCAACAAGCTTGGTGCTTTTTAATCCTGAGTGGATGGAATTTCCTTTTGCATTTCTTACAAGCAACGAGTTGAGATTGGTATTCTTCCCAATTGACTTCGGATTGGTTGAGTTCTGGTTTAAGAAAATTATGACGGTTATGACGTTAATGAACTAAATCGAAGTTACAAATTTTTTAATACTTTGTAGTTTACCTTCAGGAACGGGACACTCTTCCTTCATTGTGACAATAGGCATTAGTTGTAGTACTTCGGGTGTACTACGAGAACTTGTATCGCTATTACCAGTAGTTGGTGTTCTTGGTAGTTCATGTTTAGGTTTCATAGGATCGAAATCCTCCTAAAGCGATATAAAAATATGAATACATACTAGTATTACATCTCCAGTACCATTCTAATATTTAAATGTATATTATATCTATGGGCTAGGCAGGGGAGGGTGGCACTGGCTGAAAGAAAATAGCTTTTGCCCTACCCTAGAAGAAAAGAATTGGATTTTGCCCCTCCCCCCCACTGCCCCTCCTGGAGGAAAAAAATTAAATTGTCCCCATCCCCTGACTGGTAACCTGTCTACGCCCATAATTATACCTTAAGTATTTCTTCACTTTCATTGTGCTTCCTTGGTGTTAGAGTGTGTGTTCGCCTTCGATTGAGTGGTCCAGAAATTTCAGTTGACGAATTCTGTGATTTTTCATTTTTATCATCGTCCGCTGAGGTCACCTTCTTGTCTTTTTTAAACATAAATTGTTAAATTAAGCTATCAAATACGATCACTACATAAAAACTTAAATTGCTCACCTTCTGTATCACGACTTGCATTATCGGTCTTTTTTGTTTGTTTGGCTGAGTGTAAACCTTTTTTCTTGTTACCACGTTTCAAAGATACCATATGATTTATGCTTTTTTCTTGGTCTTCCAATTTATCTAGTGGAACCTCAATTTCATTAGAGTTGGATCTCCTTAGAGTGTGCATTTCTGTTGCTACTTCAGTTTGCCATTTTTTCTCCTCATTTGAGATGGATCTGTATTTTTTTGTGCTTGTACTGTCCACCTCAAGATTTTTTTTTTTAGATCGGCCTCTTCTTTGAGTTACAGTATTTGAGTCATTCTGATACTTTGCATCATTTTTTACGAACATCCTTTTAACTCTTGTGTCTTTACTTTCTTCTTCTTCTTCTTCATCAGACCTAAATGTTAGCATTTTAGCACCACCAAAGTATAAAGGTGTTGGTCTGTATTGCTCTAAATTAGGAGTTGAATTATGGATTGTAGTATCTGGACTGAAGAGACTTTTGTGTGCAGTAGCATTTACCATGTTTTTATTTGTTACTTGTTTACCTTCCACCTGCATATATGGTGATTCAATGTTTTCCAAATTTTCTTTATTTTGTTCAGAATCATTTTTATCCTGAAATATTGCTCAAGGTAAATTTCATAATATTACTTTAAATGGATTTTAGATTTATTTTTATATACAAAATGTTACTTAATATAATATTTTTTTCCTCTGTGGGAGGGGACAAGTGCTCCTCCCTGTCTCCCCTGGCTACGTCCACGTTTATTTATTATATAAAATGTGATAAGTTTTATAGATTTGTTCAATTGTACAAAATCACTTACCTGATTTTGACAATGAGAATTATTACATTTACATAATTCTCCACATATGGTGTCCCTTTTAACACATCCACATATTTTAGAAGAACAATTTCCTTTGCAGGTACAACCACGTGTTGAAGCTTTATCATTTTTGTTAACTGTGCTTGGAGTTTTCTGGCTTCTAGTTGATGTAATTTTTAAAACAGGTGATGGTTCTTCAGCATTGTACTGTTTTAGACGGTTATTTTCAATTGTGAGAAGCTTCACTTGATCCTGCAAGCGCTGTATCTCTAAAGTTAAGCGTGTCATCTCTAAATTATTTTGCGTTTGTGTTTCTGCATTTCTTTTTCCACTGAATGAAACAAAATAATAAACATTACGAACAGTGCTAGTGACAACAATTATGACACAACCACAGATTTTATATATTTTAATAAAGAATAAGTTAATTTTTTATACACTTCTTAACTTAACAGACCTTCTCATTACTGAAATCATTTGTTCTGTCTCTGATTTTTGAAAAGTGGTCTATGAACATAGATATTTGCATAAAAATCCGTCGTCTAATTTTGCTAGTTTATTAAATATAGAATCGGCGAATTACACACCTTTTAGTTCTCGTCGCCTTTGACATTTTGCAGTTGTGAGCACGATCGACGAAGAAATTTAAAACCACAATTCGTTGACGTAGGACGTAGGTAGTAGGACATAGAACTTGGCGGTTAACAATTTTTGTGCATTTAAATTCTCAGTCAGAGAAGCAGAGATAGGAGGTTTACTACAGCAATCCTTTTCTACCGTCTAAGCAAAAACTGGAACACCGGATTCCGATCTAAAACGCTCAATACAACATTGCGCTTTTAGTAGCAGGTAAACAAAACTATTTAAAATTTTGGAGTACAATAAAGTACCTAAGGCGGCGCTGGTTGCGTAGTAAACATTATAATGGCGATTGAAAAATAATAATTCGTCGCAAAGTCATAATAGAAATACATATAAATAATGTCTATGAGCACAGAGGAATTATAGGAGTAGACCCAAATAGACTTTTCATCCAATTTATTTCTTCGGCCCACTTTTCTGGGGTGATGTTACGCCATTTCTTGGGGCCGAAAAGCCCCAACACCGTTTAATTGTCATTACCCAACGTTACCGATATGTATGAATTATGGGTATTATTAGCATAAATAGAATATTATATATCTCGTTCGTGTTATGTGTATTTAATATGATTTGGCGGGAGCAAAAATATGCGATGCTTCGGTATAAAGGTACTTATGAACAATGACACGCAAATGTACATATATTTTCAGTTATCTATAAAAGTAATGTAACTTTTTACACGCTTCTTAATTCGTTTTCATGTCCTTTTTGTTACATTTTTATCTAATAACATGATATAGGAATCTTAATATGCACAATCAATTACCTTCTGGCAATTGGTGACTTTTTATATATAACTTTATCTAGAATAATTTTACTTATTGGGAGTAATTAAATAATGAACTTGGACCCAACTGGAGCTCAGGTAGTCAAACTTTCTCCATAATGAAAAGTTTTTATCTATTATTTAACTGGTAATATCTGTCAGATTGTATTTCATAAACTTTGGCGCCATTGTCAAATTGGCAGGATATATTTTCCATAGATGGCGTTCGAGAACCGTTGCAGAATTGAAAACTTCGAGAAGACGGCAGCAAAATGAATATTTTTCATCTAAAACGAATTAGAATAGCAAAATTTCGGGGATAATGTGTGCCTCTTTGTTTCCCTATGATAGTCATTCCCTTCTGAATTAATCTCGGACGCACATAAGAAAAATGTATTGAAATATAATTCGGCGGTAAATATTTTATTTCGTTCAAATAGAAAGTTGAGCAAGCAGGAAAGCGACCAATCCTCACGTTCTTCACCAACCGACGTACCAATCACGAGCCTCGCATATGAACGAACCAACCAATCATAGCCAGTCGTAGACAGCCTAACGGTCATTCGTCTCGGGGAAGCTGAAGTCATTAGACGTGAAGTGGTCTCGCTCGTGGCGAAGTAAGTATTATTACTTTTCACTTTAAATTATTTATGCTATTAGTATCTACATTAGCACTCTATCGTTACATTTGTTTAGTATCTATTCAATTCAATGTAAATAATCGTAAATTAACTCGGTATTGCTGGATAAAGTGAACCGGGTTCACGATTTCTCTTCTTCCCCCGATACCACTTAGTATTTACACAGTTTTCATTCAATTTGCAATCTTTGACGACATTCCGCGTGTCAATAATTGTTTCGTTGTGACTAAATCATTGTTAATTTAGTATAATTACTTCGTATTAACGTTTATTTTTTGTTTTAGAATTCCGTCTAGAAGGAACGCGCCACCGACGAGAGGCAGTAGACTCTGCTGTTAGAAGCAATTCGGCGGGAAATTGGCGAATTCTGGTAATGTATATTATAACAAAATAGGTTACATTCCGTTACATATTTCTATTTTATTGTGTTTCAATTCTTTTTACCGTAAACATGATCGTGATTTTCTGACTAATTGTGTTAAAATCGAACAAGAGTTCTTTCGAAAAATATTTCATATTCAAGTGCGTAATTGAAGCATCTAACATGTCTTCCTGGACCGTTAGGAAATTTAAAAAAGAATGCTTCCAGACATTACTGTTTACAAAAATGTTTCAATACTCAATAAATTCTGCGAATAAACTTTGTTGATATCTGTAAACATAACGGAGATAGTAAGGTGATCAAAAAGTGCGTGCATCAAGCCCACCCTATATGTAGCTGCGTCGCACAAGCAAACGGACGATTGGTGGAGAAAGCACGCTGGTGATTGGCGCTCATTTATCGTACAATTGCTGGAATTCTGGCCCTCTACAGCCCCAAAATATGCAATAAACGAACGTCTACTGTACACACATAATTATGTACTCGATAACGTGCGTCGATAAGTTACCATGCGTTGTTTAAAGATTTTGAAACAAATATTTTTCACTTCTTTCGATGTATGTATGTATGATATAATGTAAATAATAATATATATGTAGAATGAGGTAAAACCTAAGACCTAACCACTTATACGCTATTATTGCAATACTCACCAATAAGCAGAAACGAGTGCGAACAAAAAATAACATATATTTCACGCTAGAATTATTTCCATCAGCAGAATTAAACGAATGGTACTAACGAAATATATTTCATTCAATCTGTAACACAACAATATCGTGACTCTCTATTTTTAATTATTAATTTAATTACGAGACAAGAAAGTAATGAAAAATGCATATGAACGTAAATAGTATGTATATTCTAGACTCGAGTGAATTACTGATTTTCACAAATTTTCAAACTGGACTAAGTCCGCAACGCTACGTGCACGCATCATCGACGTTTTCCAGTTCCTTGGGTACAGACATACGTGGGTAATGCAACGCCAATTCGATCGCGTATCCCGGATCGAGCACGTACTCCTGTTTACTTAACTGATCCCGACATATTTTCCCGTCGACCATAAAAAAGCAAAAAACAAAAGAAACTACGAGTCGAGACGGCTGGGTCGGAACGAGGACTCGATTCCTTCATTCTTTTCGCCGCGGTGTCTGAGGCTGCACGATTAGATAAGCCAGCGCGGTTCATAGTGCGTCCGAGATGCGGAGCGCATAAGAGACCAAGAGGCTCGAGGGACGGCCTCAGTTAAAGCTGCGTGTGCATACCGGCGAATTCGTTTCGCGAGTAAACTTTCTGGAAGTAAAGAAACGAAAACACGTTTCATTTCGCGAGTGGTTCGCTGTCAGGTGCCTCAGGTATACACAAAAAAAAAAAAAAAAAAAAAAAAAAAAAAAAAAAAAAAAATTGTTTTGCAATTTGTGAATTTGTTACGCAAAACAAATCCGTCGATTACAATTGGTCCCCCCTAGTAGCTGTTGCGAAAAGAAAGGAGAAAATTTTGGGACCACAGTCACGTCCACAAGATCGAGATATGAGTCCGTCTTCAAGGAAGAAACCGTGTCACCAGACGGGCTCGGAGTGATCTGTGTAACCTCGAAGACTAGATCGAATCGGATTCCACACGGGATCCCTTTGGTTCCAAGGGAAAGCAACAAGATCGAACGATGCCAGCCTGCACCAGCGAGAACATCTCGCGACTATGGTCGTCGAGTCCGCCGATCTCGAGAAGCAACAGCGTGTCACCGCTTATACCAAGCTCGCCCCTGTCAACGTCGCCGCCTTCGGCGTCATCGTTATCGACGTTGAAACGGTCGATATCGAATGTGTCAAATTCATCGAACCCGTTGAATCTGCCGAGCCTGTCGAACAACTCGAGCACACCACCGGTGATATTGTCATCCAGACGCCAGCAACAACAACAAAAGATACAATTGAACCACCAAACTCAGTCTACACAGGGTCAGAATCATAACCGAAACGATCCATTGCTGTTGAGGATACTGAACGCGTACTTCGGTGTCCTGATCGGTACGCTGCGCGGGATCCTCACTGTGATCAGCTACGTGATCTGGGCACCTGCGTTATGGGTATCGGTATGGGTCTACATGATCTGGCTGATATTCCAATTTCCTTTGACAGCTCTCAAATGGTTCATCACCGTGCTCCACACGCCAGCCTCGGAGAGGGTGCGCAGCAAACGTTGCGTTCTGATCAGCGGCGGCGGCACCGTGCAGACCGTTCATCTGGCACGGAATTTCTACAAAGCCGGCGCCAGAGTGGTGGTATGCGAGCTCGAAGGTCTGTTCGGTTTGGCGAAGTACTCGACCGCCTGCTCGAAATTCTACACGATCCCGAAACCCGGCCCGGGAACTGTGATCGAGTATATAAAAGCCCTGAAGGACATTGTGCAGAAAGAGAAGGCTGTGTACTATATACCGGTTAGCGCCAACAACACGGCCTACTACGACGCCCTAGCGAAACCGTATCTTGAGGTGATGGGTTGTGAGTGTTTCGTGCCCAGTTCCAGTGAAGTTGCTTCCCTGGACGATCCTCTGGAGCTGTTGCGACGATGTCGGACCTTGGGACTTCCGACCCCTTATCACACGGTGTTGCGTTCCACGCAGGACGTCTGCAGGTTGTACGAGCAGAACGCGTTCGCCACAGGTAGATACCTGATGCTGACCGCTGGCCCGGCTGGGATGAGGGACAGGGGCAAGATAGTCTTGCCTCCGACCGTTAGGGAATTCAGGAATCAACAGCACGAGATCACCGAGAATAAACCTTGGGTTGTGATACGCGATCCTACTGGGAATCATTATATCACCTGTACAACGGTGAAGGAGTCGAAGATCGTGGCGAACGTGACCTGTCTGGTGGACCAGGAACGTGGCTTGATACCAGAGGAACGACCTGAGGTGACGCAATGGCTGGACCGATTCTTCGGCCGTTCGTTCGGCTGGAGGATCAACGGACACTTGAGCTTCCGTTTAGCGATCACGGACGATGGCGATCTGGTGTCGATCGGTTGCCGTGTGGGCGTCAGTTTACCGTACATTTGTCACACTGGAGTTCATCCACGGCTCGTCTGGAAACCGTGCAGACACTTCTCCAGACAGAACTCTGACGTCTTCGCTGCAGCGGACAGGCATTTGCTACCGGACGCAGTCGCCAGCGCTCTGAAGCTGCCAACCGGGGAGACGGCCCCGCATCTGTTGGGTACTGTACTCGACAAACGGGAGGCTTTGTTCGCATATTGGGACCCGTTACCCTACTGCGCTTATTATCATCTTCAGCTCCCGTTCAGGCGACTCGCAGGCATGATCAGGGCGCAACCGGCCAAGCACAATCCTCCATTGGCGGTAGTGCAGTAATACAGACGCGTTTAGATTGCCCGGAGAGACCCAGTTATCGCAATGAAACTCTCTAACGGAGTATATTTTTGAACAGAATCGGAGGAGAAGAATTAATGGTGCTGCTGGTCGGAGCAATGCGTCCCACGAATCCTGCGAAGGCTCCACGGACCGAGCAACCGATTTGGTTCGGAAGGATGTTCCAGGATGAATCTTGTATGCACATACACAGTGGACAACCTTCCTTGGCATTTGCAAACGCAGTCAATCGATGGGAAGGCAACCCAGGGAGGAAAGTCCGTGGAAGAGGACAGTGGAGTCGGGACGTCGTTGATGAGGGCGCGCACCAGTCTCCAAAGGTCAAGTTCAGTTTTATCGGATGGAAAAACAATACTTCAGTGAAATCGTGACTGGGAAACTGAATACATACGCACACATACGTTCGTATCACACGTGCCACGTCGTTTTTGCGCGCCGCGATTATTATGTACGATTCCCTATCTTTGGTAGATTGTGGTACCAGTGAAAAGAGAGAGAGAGAGAGAGAGAGAGAGTGAGACGAGAGTTTTCTAACTCGTGAGCATGTATCGCAGATATCGTCGAGTGTAAATAATAGCGTGAACAATCGGCCTAACTTTGTTCGGTCTCGACCATAGACATTTTTCGTTGTTTTTGCGACCTAACAATTTCCTGGTCACAACTGCGAATTTCTTTTTCTCGAAATATTGGGTTGTCTATTCATCCCGAAAATGTTTAAAAAATCATAACCAATTGTATTACTACCGTGTTCTTACAATAGTAGGATGCTACAGAGGTATTACACGAATCTCACCTTTGTAAGGTGTACACTTACTTCTGACTCTCACTGTATGTTTATGGTCTCGATTGTATGTGTGCAATTTTTCCCTCACGTTCAACTGAGATTTCTTGTTAACTTTCCTTTTTTTTTTCTTTCGTTTTTCCCCTTCGTCCGGTCGACTTTGAACCCGTTAGATAAATGCTCCAGTACGAGAGTGCGCTCACGCACTCTGTCTGAAAGTGATTGTAGATTGTATATTTGATATTTAATTGAATTGCGTCTGCTCGACGCGACGAAGCTGTAAATAACTTTAACCGGGCTGTAGAGCCGCGTACGATCCAGTGACGGTCGTTAGAGATCTTTGGAGGTTAGAAACCGTTTTTGATTTCTCGCGAATGATGCGACCTTGGAGGATATTTGTATTTATAGTATTTCGTAAGAGGCCCCAGACAATAAGGTTCGTGTAAATATTGCGTGCAGACATCATGAAGTTGATGAGTGAATAAAACGTTGTTTTTTCTAACATACATTATCAGTGTTCTGTCATTTCTGCGTCGTCTACGATTCTCCCGATATTAGAGATACCTTGGAAACAGACCTAATTAAAAAGTACATATGTAATTGATAATAATTTTTCCCGTTGGATTTTGGGGTAGGCCAGCGTTGGGCACAATTTCATTCGAATGATATGTAGGTGAAAAGCAGCACCTTAAAACAATCAATGAGATTAAACAATTGCCCGTCAAGTGTCTACTCATTCAAGACGATTTTATTATAAAAATTGGAATTTCCACGTTTATTAACACTAAATTTAGTTGATAATTTAACAGATCATTCTTAAAGGCTTCAACTATCGATTGCTACCAAAAAATCGTAGGATCACCGATGAAATGATTGAAAAAGAAACGTTATGAAAATGTCTTTTCAACAAGAGCCTTATGGAATTGTAGTGGATACTGAGCAGTTAATCACTTCTTATTTAGTTACAAAAAATGACATTTTCATAAAAAATAAGGTGGTCACAGATTTTTTTACCGATTTTTAAGTTACCGATCAAATAACACTAAAAGTATGCTAACTTTGGTTTCAGTGCGCTTAGTAGTAGGTATCTTCTACGCTTGTCTGCTATGAGTGTCAACGTCACTTGTTTTCCTTCAGTTTGTTCGACGAACTTCTCAATTTTTTCTTAAAAATTAAAAAAAAAATTTCTTTTTTTCTTATTTTTAATTTTTCTTTCCAATTCAGTATTTGGAAGGAGTTTAAGCCGTTAATCGTTCAAATGAAATTGGTAAAATTGATAAAAAGTGTAAAGCGCCATATGGAGCCCCAGCTAGATGCGACACCAAACTTGTGAGCTACCTTAATCGGAATCTATTCGGTTGTGTGCGCGAGCGAAACCGTAAATAATATTGCTTATAGATGGAAGTTTGACCCCTGAGGGCAACAGAGCTTGCCGGACTTTGAAAGGCTGGGGTCGCCGGTTCGAGAGATGCTGTCCAAGCACTATCGCTCGTCTCCTCTGCCTCGCCCGCTCGGTCCCTCGTCTCTCCACCTTCCTTGGCTTCCCGGGGCGAATCGTTATCATCGTCGACCCGTTGTCAGCTGGTCCAGCACCAACGGCAACGTGTCATTTCGCCGCTAATCGCGCCGGTTGTGGCCTCTTCTTCTTTCTCTTTTTCCGTTCGAGAAATATCACCGAGAGACAGAAGAGGTTGGTTACATAATGCGCCGTTAAACGTGCATCACGGGGGAGGGCTATCGCTGCGAACAGTTTTTCTGTGTCCCTTTGTTGACGAACGCCGATCGGGACTGTCCTTGGCCTCTCGTATTCACATGAGAAACCGGTGTCGCAGGTGATAGGAGAGTGATATTACAAAACGAGGAATAAAATGATCGTAGGTATAACAATAGTTTGCTTATTATATGTTTTTGCCATTGTACCCTCGTGAGTAAACTCGATTTCCACTGAGGGAAAAAGTGATGTAAGGAAGAGACCTCCTATCACTTGGTCTTGGACTTACTGAAGTTTATGGCAAATGAATATTCGGTTTAACATTTATTTCAGTACTTGAAATAAATTTATCAAGTGGCGTAGGGGAAGGACCTCCTAGCAGTTAGTAAATTTATTTCAAGCACTGAAATAAATGTTAAATCGAATGTTAATGTGGCATAAATTTCAATAATTCCCGATACCAAGTTGTAGGAGGCTCTTCCCCTTCGCCACTTCCTCTACCAGAAACTGAATTTGCTCGTGACGATACCCTCGCAACAAGCAACCATTCGAAGGTCTCGTGATCGAATGATATTTCATGGCACAATATCGAGGGAACGTGTCGCGGTGGATCGTAAATATCGTCGATACGGTGAACGATAGATGAAATACGAGACATGTTCAGGAACGGAGAAGCTATCAGAAGTTTGGGGGGTCCAAGGAAGACGAAAGGAGCGAAGTGTGTAACGCAATCCGAACATGCGATAATATTGAAATGCAGTTCCTTGGCGACGGGCCGGTGAAATAAATCAATACGCAGCCAACTCTATTTTTTTTTGTTCATTTCATCCAAGGGGAAAGCACGCGAGAGGAATTGTTCGTTCGCCAAAAATCGTATAGATTCCGTCTACCGTTCGCCACGTTCGCTCGCGGCAGCCTATCGTCGTTCAACGAACGAACGAGCTAACGACGTCCAGCCACAGACTTCTATATACAGTGTGTCCCAAAATAACTTCGATTCTCGGAAATGAGGAATTCCTCGGGCGATTTGAAACAACTTTTTCCTTAGGAAAAATGTTATCCGACGCTTTGGTAACGAGATATTAACGAAAAACCCTGACCAATCAGAGCGCGAGTCTGCTGGCCGAGCATCCGCCGCAGCGTTGGGTACGCGCTGTGATTGGTAGCCAACGCTACCGCGGATGCTCGGCTGGCAGACTCGCGCTCTGATTGGTCGGGGTTTTTCGTTAATATCTCGTTAACCAAACCTCGTATAACATTTTTGCTAAGGAAAAAGTTGTTTCAAATCATCCCAGGAACCCCTCATTGTCGGGAGTTGAAGCTATTTTGGGACACCTTGTATATAAACTAGACTGCTAAATTTCTTATATATCGCTTATATATAATTATTTATATAGTAGTTTTAAGGTATAGGAACATCCTATTTTTTCGGTTGGCAATCTCGTAGCGAACTTCCTGTTCACGGGTGTTTCGTGTTCGCTCGAATAATAAGCGAACGATGCGCAGAAGTCGAAGTAACGCGAGCCTACAATGAAGATATAATTGACTTGACTTCGTGGTTTCCGTAATTGTGTGCACGAACAGACACGACAGGAGTTTTGAATCTACCAAAAGAATTTCGCAGGTGTTCGCGATTCGAATCTTCTTTGTTAAAAAAATTGCTTAACTCTTGTTAACCCTTATTCGGATTTCCAAATTTAGATGGTTTTCTACAACCATTATTTCTGGAGCTGATAAGTGCAAACGAATTTGCTTTGCAACATTTATAATAATTTTCTTACAGTGTCTGTAAATATTGACGTTCATCAATTCCCATAAATTACTGAATTAATAAAATTTAAATAGTATAAAATATACATATACCTTTCTATATATTATTCTATAAATGTTTACAGTTTATGTTGGGAAAGCGATAGAAATGTTGTAAATTTAAAAAAAAAAATGAGTGACTAGGGATGACCGCAATTCCCCATGCGTTTTCACGTGGAATAGCTTGTACCTGTATATTAAAAACTACACAGACTGAAACACAGGTATATTAATTAAACGTATATTTTTAATACACGTTCAAAACCATGATCTCTAGTTAAAAGGACGTTTGGTGTGTTTCGTTATGATCGCCAGTCGAACGAGAAGGCACGGTAAACGGAACCGTAAAGGCCCTTAACTCGGCTCGTCTGCGGAGGAGGTAACAAGAAGGAAAGTCATTTTCTTGGGCAGCGCCCGTGTACCACGTGGTTCCAGGCACGGTTCTGTGAGAACAGATTCACCTGACTAGCATACCAATGGTCCGTTTACCGCCGCCACTTACACATCACGCCGTTAATTTACAGGTGATAAGAACGTTTTACGCATCGACACGCTCCTTAAACGCACGCCTTAACACTAAAACTATCAAGCAAGTCAAAATGACTTGTCAATACACTCTTACAACGGCGATTAAAATCTTACGACATTCCGTTTTATGATGTTTCACCATTTTTATTGCAATATGAAAATGAAGAAATTAGTTAATTTATAAATTTTTTATATTTTCCAAAATTTCTTATGTTTATCGACCTGATAGAAATAGTTTACATTCATTAGCTTTCATATGGATTACTCGTTTCATTCGATATTAGTACTTTTTTTCGATACCGAGTATATATCACAACCGAAAGTGTCGATATTAATAATACTCGGTATCGAAACGAAAGTTATCGAGTATTTACTTGGATCGGTTCATCCCTACGTGTGAGCTAGTGCCGCTGCATGGTTTGAGTAGAATAGCCTTGCAGTAGGCAGACGCAAGAGGAGACATACCCAGTCAGCTAAGCCTGCAAAGGTCATATTTTGTCCAATGGCACTTGCCTCCTTTGGACGAAAAACAGTGACTTTTGCACCATCCTACAAGAAAAAAATTGGATTTTTCCCCCTCCCAAAATTATGAAATTTTTGCGTAATATTTAATATTGCAGTATAATTTGAAACACGACCAACAGCCTCTATTAACAAAACGCATGCATTTTCAACGATTCATGATTTTAAAAACAAAATAAAATGTGTCTGGCTACGTACAGCCTTCTTCACTGTGGCAATCGATGTGTTAATATTTTTGCCATCCCCTGACTAATAATCTGGCTGCGTCCACGGAGATATTTCAGGTGAAAGTCGTTGGTGAGTCATCCTGTATTACGAAGAGGTCGGTTCCAAATGAACAGAACTCGTCGAACACGATGCACGATACCAGAGAGGCGTTCTATCTAATCTCCGACGACGTTGAAGAAGCTCGTCCCAGAACGGAGTGCAACAAGAGTAAAATACAGACGTGTGTGTCAGAAGGGGGAACTTTCGGTTGTATCGATGCTCGGTGGCTATTAATACTGTACGGTTGTCGGTGCGACACGCAGCGTCTGCCTCTACTCGATAATAATAAACAGTGTTTTTCATCTGTCTTCCAATTGCCGGCAATTCGAACAATCGACGAACAATAATTATCGCCCTCGACCTACGGCCACACGCGGTGTGTCGCCTTGCTTCTTTTTTTTTTCCCCACGTCGACCAAAGTAAACGGTTTTTGTTTCTTTTTCTTTTTTTTTTCTTTTTTTTTTTGTTCGTTTTTTTTCACTCCGTTGGTGATCGAGAATTCCGTTAGGGCGAACGACGAACCGATCGCAGTAGGATGATCCTCTTGGCGTTGTTCGTAGCGTTGAACGCCCTCGCCGCGACCGCCGGGAGAATCGATCAGTGCCGGTGGCGAACCGACGAGCAAATTATCTGGGAGTACGACGTCAGAAGATCGTACAGGATCGGTGGATACCAAGTGCGTGATATGTGTTTGCGTGTGTGTGTGTGTGAAACGATAACGATTTTTTTGTCGACGAAATCGACTCGGAGTTTTAATAATTAGACTGCGGATTTAATGTATTTATAGCCTATGGGGCTCTGTGATATACGATAAAAGATAAAACAATCATCGGTAGACTGCGGATGTTTATGGAAAATGATAGTCTCTGAAGCAATTCATACAGAGATGTGCAAATTTAGGAATAACTTTATTTTTGAGAAAATTAGATCTGACGAAAGTTTTGGATTTGACAGACCCCTAGAGGATAGACATGCATTAAATTCACAGTCTGATCAGCAGATACGACGGGGTTTCTATTTTATTATTAATCCAATAAGGTATTTAAGAGAGGAAGGAAATTCGATTAATCTCGTTTGTTTTTCAAAATCACGAGTCCGCCTTTAAATTGGTCACGTTATCAACATACTCCCCCAGTTTTTTTCCTCCACCTCTTCGGGGCTATTACGAGTTTTTACGATTCCCTCCTTATCGCCTTCCAGATAGCCGCGAAATCGAAAACGTGACTGAAGTGAAAGTGAAGAGATCTTTTTTAACCTTTTGAACTCTTTTCAGATTTTCCTAATCAGTTTCAATCACACCTATTCAAATTTGCCATTTTAAATATTTACTATATTTCACAATATTTGAAAAATATGCATTTTTCTGAATTCAACGTTAACATAATTGTAATTAAGGAATGAAAATGTAACTTGTAACAAGATGAACTAGAATAAAATTTTAATATTATGAATAATTAACATAATTTACGTCTGTTCGCTTCAACTTCCAAAATACAATTGATAACTTATTTCTTTTTTAGTTACTAAGGTAATACAACATTTCTTGTTTGTTCCTCGAGTAAATCATGTTTATGCCATGAAAAGTTATTAATTATATATATAAATCTATACAACCATGGTAACAGAATGCAAATGTACACAGTACGAACATTACAATATTTCAAATTTCACGCTTTCCAAGCTTATGCCGTTTAGTTTAAAATAAAACACCTGAAATAATAGGGAATTCACACCAAACAAAAAACACTTGCAATATTGGAAAAAAAATTGAAAGAGTATTAGGGATGCAAAGGGTTAAATGTTGCCAGTTTGTTGCAGGAAGTGGAGGCGGAGTATGGACCGACTGGCGCGACGATCACCTGCATAGGAGTCGATTCTTTGTCCAACGAAAACAACGGCGCCATGTGGGTCACTTCCGGCGGGATTGGTTACAATTTCATCAGGCTTAAGTTCAGGTCCAAGTATTCTAGGGGACTTCACTACCGTGTGTACGTTTATGGGAAACCACACTAAGAGATACTCGCGCTTCTGAACTGTAGATTAATAAATTTTCACTAGAATTCTACCGTTTGTTTCGTCCGTGTTCGTCCATTTTAAAGAACACAACTAACACACCGTGGATTAATGCGAGGATATACTACCTCAAACACGTTGTATGTGATCGAATTAAGCGAGACACCTTGCAAGTAAACTCGACTTCCGTTTCGGGAAAAAGTGACGCAAGAGAAAAGCCTCCTACCACTTGGTAAATTTATTTCAAATACTGAAATAAATGTTAAACCGAAAGTCAATTTGGTATAAATTTCAGTAACTCCAAGACCAAACGGTAGGAGGTCTTTCCCTTACATCACTTTTTTCCCTAGCGAAAGCAGAGTTTGCTCTAGATACAGATGTGGGTCTCTGAAACACGGATTTTTTACACAACGTGATTATTGATACAATTTTTATCAACAAACACGTCACGACTTAATCATCCTTATCTTCTGCTTCCTAAAAACTGAGCGTGTACAAATATTTTTTACACACTGTACGTTTCCGCGAAGCTTATCTGTCACCATGACTAGAAGATTCTTTGGGAAAGAACCTTCGATGGTATAATGGATATCGAACAAGCTTTTGACAATAGATACGCGTTGTTTAGGGGATGATCATCCTCCTTTTTCTCTCCTTATTAATCCAAGAACAAGGAACTCCCGGATCGCATGGCCCCGTCCGTCCCACGATTATTGTTTCGTGCACGCAGCGAAAAGATATGTCCTCCGATTCATTATTCGTCGAACTTGTCGTCGGCGGGAATCTGCGGCTGGTACCCACGGCGTAATGGTTTCTCGATCTTCTTTGTACCACGACGGGGTAACTTTTTATTCAGTCTGAATCACTCCGGTCACGACATACCGAGTTCATTTAACGAACCGCCGTCCCCGTGATCGCTCGTGGGATTTACGATCAACCCGAGCAATTTTCATCGCCGTTTAAACGGTTTTTAACCCGTGGTCGGCGGATGCTCGCAAGGGCAATTTGACAAAATATACAGGGTGTCGCATTTAAGTGTGACCACCCCCGTATATCTTTGTAAATTATGAAAACCCAAGAAATATTTTATATGTAATTTGAATTGTATTAAGTGGTCAGTATCCTGCAGGCGTTGTTGTTTCTTTCTGTTATCTATCTTACAAGCTCTAATCCTATTTTTTCTATAAATAGTTACAGTGGACTTTAACTATATTACCACTGAAAATATTTTTCGCATGTTACAGGATTATTAGTTACAGTTGAATGTTAAAATAAAATAGCTTAATTCTAATACAATTTTATTTAATATTTTAACGTAATGAGGAGCATATTTAATTTTTTGTATCGCAAGTACTTACTTTTTATAACATAAGATTTTGCTAACTACCGAATGTTTTGTTATATATTTCAATAATTTTTGGACGGGGGGGGGGGGCAGACTCCCCTGGCCCCTAGCTAGTTACGCCAATGGTTTCACCCCTTAAAATCGCGTCTCAGCCGATAAAAAAAATACGCGTCCCTTATTTTTGACTGCTTAACAGACATACGAAGTGTCATCAAAATCGGAGGGGTACACTTCCGTGCCATCCCTTGCAAGTCCCTAAATCTTATAGAATCTCCCAAACGCTCAGCCTCTAGCGGATTCCACCCTCGAAAGATAAGGTCCGTAACCAACAAAGGCTCGAACACGTGTAAACCACCGGTGAATTCGAATCTCAATCGATGCTTAATTACTTGGAAACTTGCCGTCCATAAATTACAGAACGTACACCGGTACGAGTACGTTATCACAGACGCTGCCTGTTAACCGGGGCATCGTTAACTGACTAAAACTAAGTTCACGACGGTTACCTAACCCCGAAATAGTCGCATGTGTATCCTAAGCGGCGAACGGCCAACCCTCCAGATCCGTGGATCGGGGGCGCGTAGACACGGGAAGAACGTTAGCCCGCCTGGGGGTTAAGCACGCGATCGCACGCGAGCCTGGATCCACGACGGGCGCGGTAGCGTCGCGACGCCGACGCCCGACGGGGTTCAGTGAAGGCCAGCCCGTCCGTCCGCGTCGAACGCGCGCGCACCAGCGAACAAACGTTTTCTGTCCGTCGACAGGCCCCGAGGAAACCGTATCGCCGCCAGCCATCCTCCAACATCCATACATCCGACATCAAATCCAGTCAAGCATCAATCGCCATCTCTGATCATCCTTGCTACAACCGCACATTTGAAAATGTCACGGGTGAGTTTTCGGCGGGAAAATTCAAAAGTGATTTCTATTCTTTTTTTTTTTTTTTTTTTTTTTTTTTTTTTTTTTTTTATTTTTATAATGTTACCATTGAATAGATTGTTCGCTTTGTACTGTTATTGTATTTATTGTTTTGATTTTTTGTGATTTATACTTGTTCTTCGAGATGTTTGGGGAGACTAGCCTGGTGGGAAAGAAATGTAGAATCTAGGAACGCAATTTTTAGTTAATAGTACACTGTTTTCGAGAAATATTACATTGAAAATTTAAAGCGAAATATAAGATTGACAATTAAAAGGGAAATGTTAGATTGAAATTTTAAAAAATAACGGACCATTGAACAGGACTCTTGTTACCGTGTCTGTCCACCACTTGCCGTTTCTACTTATTACGACCACTCGCATTATCCTGCATTTTCCACTGATTTTCTCTTGAGGAATCGCTTCCTATCCATCTGTGCCACGAGTTTGTCTCAATTTTATATAAATTAGTACATATTCGGGTCAATTTAATTCTGAAAGCAGCAACGTAATAGTGATTTAAATATTAAACCAGTGTTAAATGACACTCACAATTTTCAGTCTTGAATCCTTTTGTGACAAATTCTATTCAGCTCAGATGGGGTCGATAGCTTCAAATAATTGGCCTTTGTAACTTATCGATAGATAAATATAACAAGAGAATTACTGTATCAATAAACAAATGAAACACAATTTCATAAGCTGGAATAATAGACGTATAATATTTATTATACATCTACGGCTGGAATATCGTTTTCTAAATTCACTATAGCATAGAACCAACGTAGAACGAAATTTCCTTTCACGAAGCGAAATTAATTCTGAAGTGCTGGACTGGTAGCCGTTCGCCACGCGATTAATCAACAGAATCTTCGATCGTTCCGCGAGATCTCGCCAGGCACAACAGACTCGACCCGCCGGTAAATGAGATAATTAGCGTTACCTGTTAACTAGTTTCGCTTCCGCGAGGATTGATTGACTTCTTCCATTAACTCGCGCCTGGTGTAGACCGACGGCCTCGTAGAATCGTGTAAACGAACCCGACACCGGCACTCACGCGTTTCCCCCGATCTACGGATAATGATCTCTGATCTACGCGTCTGTAGCATTAAACGCCTCTATAATCGTGGTCGAGTACGCGACGAGAAAATCGGTGCAATTTGAAAGTGAACGAAAACAACGATTATTCACAGATTGGTTAGCCCCCATTGATCCGACATCGAACAACCATAAACTGTTTATGCTTTTGGATGTAAACTGAATTCCTTTTTGGAAATATAGCCCGACTAATCATCAGTTACGAGTATACAGGGTGCCCCAAAAATTTTCGACTCCTGGAAATGAGGGGTTCCTGGGACGATTTAGAACAACTTTTTCCTTAGCAAAAATGTTATCCAAGGCTTTGTTAATACGCGCTGTGATTGGTACCCAATTCAATAGTCACCACCTAGAGATTTCAATCGAACAGAGCCGACTAATTCCAATAGTTCTTTCCTAAAGACCATATCAAACACCCAAAAGGCTAACAACCAAATAGCCCATTTTTCACGCAGTTCGTAGTCTCTCAAAAAATAAAAATTCCCCTTTATCGATTTTTCCCTCTGCGAAACACCCTTACGGGTTAGCAATCCCATTTCCGATATGTATATGAATAAATAATGACTCGTTATGACAATGGCTTGACCACTGTCCAGTTTCACAGCGGTGTGACGCATCCAACTCGTGGGGTGGTGCACGCTGGAATAATATTTAGGCCAGGTTTCGCGGTTGGGGTTGATTCTATCATGTGTCATGGAACCCCACCAAGGCCGGGGGAACAGCACGTGCTGACTGGCTTATCGAGGACTGTCGCACGTTTCTGTAAGGTTTGGGTTAGTTAAACCACACGCGTTTGGTGTCGTAACTAGCTGGGACGGAATATTCCGTTTTTTTCTGAATTTTACCAGTTTAATTTGTATGATTAATATTTTAAACTACTTCCAAATACTGAAATGGAAAAACAATTTACAAATAAGAGGAAGAAACAAAATTTTTTTTCTTGTGACTAAAATTTAATTTTTGTTTCTTTAATTTTTAAGACAAAATTGAGAAGTTCGTCGAACAAACCGATGGAAAACAAGTGACGTTGACACTCATAGCAGACATACGTAGAAGATACCTACTACTAAACGCACTGAAACCAAAGTTAGCATACTTTTAAAAATCGATAAAAAAAATTCATGACTACCTAGTTTTTTATGAAAATGTCACTTTTTGTAACTAAATAAGAAGTAATTAACTGCTCAGTATCCACTACAATTCCATACGGCTTGTGTTGAAAAGACATTTTCATAACGTTTCTTTTTCAATCATTTTATCGGTGATGATTTTTTGGTAGCAATCGAAAGTTGAAGCTTTTAAAAATGTTCTGTTAAATTTTCAACTAAATCTATAATTATTAAGAATTTACATGAGCCACCTTAAAGCTGCACTCCTGTTCGGGTTACGGGTGTATTTCTCAGCAGGTGTTTCTTGCGACTGCAAAATCTGAAGTTATCGTGTCAGAGTACTTCGGAGTTTCCCATTTACTTGCTGGAACACCGTCGACTTCACAACACGAGCTACAAAGGTGCTATTAAGTACCTAAAGGCAGGAAGACTGAAGTTCTCTTAAGTCAATTTGCAGACTTACAACTTGTTAGGTTTAGGTTAAAAGGTTTACCTGCGTGGGCGGAAGAATGAGGTGCTTCTATGCAATGAGGGAAGATGGTACATTCGAGAAAACTAAGTATTGTCTGGCCTTGCAATTACTACCTGAACTCTTCTAAAATGAGATATTTACCTACGAAATAATTATACAGCAGTAGGTACAGATGATAAAAACTTTATCACCTTCAGATATTTTCATTGATTTCAATTCTTTAACGTTACGTACGATCGTTCGCAATGTTAAGAGTGAAAGCACGGGGTGTTAAAGATGACCATTAAAAAGCGCTCCCTTTAAGCAGCAGAATACGCTAGGCGTGTTCCCTACAGTCAACTCGTTCAAGTTCAACTAAACATTTCATACAGTGATTAGTCTTCTATTTGCCATAAATTAAAAAAAAAAAAAATATATGAACCGTTACGAATCGAATAGAATTTGAAAAGATTTCATTTCATCGAAAAGAAAGGTCCATTATCAATTTCCACACGACAAGTCATGTGCAACCGACTGGAGCTTCTCGCTGGAAATATTTTTCGTCATGTTGCGCGGGTCGTGTCACTCAGCACGTGAACCGAACGAACGATGAACATTGACCGTGGTAGTTTCCCCGACTTTGCGAGACGTTCACATCG